ACACCACATATATCATACACCTCCCACACCACAGATATCATACACCTCCCACACCACAGATATCATACACCTCCCACACCTGACCACAGATATCATACACCTCCCACACCACATATATCATACACCACCCACACCTGACCACAGATATCATACACCTCCCACACCACAGATATCATACACCTCCCACACCACATATATCATACACCTCCCACACCACAGATATCATACACCTCCCACACCACATATATCATACACCTCCCACACCTGACCACAGATATCATACACCTCCCACACCACATATATCATACACCTCCCACACCACAGATATCATACACCTCCCACACCACAGATATCATACACCTCCCACACCTGACCACAGATATCATACACCTCCCACACCACAGATATCATACACCTCCCACACCACAGATATCATACACCTCCCACACCACAGATATCATACACCTCCCACACCTGACCACAGATATCATACACCTCCCACACCTGACCACAGATATCATACACCTCCCACACCTGACCACAGATATCATACACCTCCCACACCACAGATATCATACACCTCCCACACCACAGATATCATACACCTCCCACACCACATATATCATACACCTCCCACACCACATATATCATACACCTCCCACACCACAGATATCATACACCTCCCACACCACAGATATCATACACCTCCCACACCTGACCACAGATATCATACACCTCCCACACATGACCACAGATATCATACACCTCCCACACCTGACCACAGATATCATACACCTCCCACACCTGACCACAGATATCATACACCTCCCACACCACAGATATCATACACCTCCCACACCTGACCACAGATATCATACACCTCCCACACCTGACCACAGATATCATACACATCCCACACCACATATATCATACACCTCCCACACCACATATATCATACACCTCCCACACCTGACCACAGATATCATACACCTCCCACACCTGACCACAGCTATCATACACCTCCCACACCTGACCACAGATATCATACACCTCCCACACCACATATATCATACACCTCCCACACCACAGATATCATACACCTCCCACACCACAGATGTCATACACCTCCCACACCTGACCACAGATATCATACACCTCCCACACCTGACCACAGATATCATACACCTCCCACACCTGACCACAGATATCATACACCTCCCACACCTGACCACAGATATCATACACCTCCCACACCACATATATCATACACCTCCCACACCACAGATATCATACACCTCCCACACCTGAGCAGATATCATACACCTCCCACACCTGACCACAGATATCATACACCTCCCACACCTGACCACAGATATCATACACCTCCCACACCTGACCACAGATATCATACACCTCCCACACCACATATATCATACACCTCCCACACCACAGATATCATACACCTCCCACACCACAGATATCATACACCTCCCACACCTGACCACAGATATCATACACCTCCCACACCTGACCACAGATATCATACACCTCCCACACCTGACCACAGATATCATACACCTCCCACACCACAGATATCATACACCTCCCACACCTGACCACAGATATCATACACCTCCCACACCTGACCACAGATATCATACACCTCCCACACCTGACCACAGATATCATACACCTCCCACACCACATATATCATACACCTCCCACACCACAGATATCATACACCTCCCACACCTGACCACAGATATCATACACCTCCCACACCTGACCACAGATATCATACACCTCCCACACCTGACCACAGATATCATACACCTCCCACACCTGACCACAGATATCATACAACTCCCACACCACAGATATCATACACCTCCCACACCACAGATATCATACACCTCCCACACCACAGATATCATACACCTCCCACACCTGACCACAGATATCATACACCTCCCACACCTGACCACAGATATCATACACCTCCCACACCACATATATCATACACCTCCCACACCACATATATCATACACCTCCCACACCACAGATATCATACACCTCCCACACCACATATATCATACACCTCCCACACCTGACCACAGATATCATACACCTCCCACACCACATATATCATACACCTCCCACACCACAGATATCATACACCTCCCACACCACAGATATCATACACCTCCCACACCTGACCACAGATATCATACACCTCCCACACCACAGATATCATACACCTCCCACACCACAGATATCATACACCTCCCACACCTGACCACAGATATCATACACCTCCCACACCTGACCACAGATATCATACACCTCCCACACCTGACCACAGATATCATACACCTCCCACACCTGACCACAGATATCATACAGCTCCCACACCTGACCACAGATATCATACACCTCCCACACCACAGATATCATACACCTCCCACACCACAGATATCATACACCTCCCACACCACATATATCATACACCTCCCACACCACATATATCATACACCTCCCACACCACAGATATCATACACCTCCCACACCACAGATATCATACACCTCCCACACCTGACCACAGATATCATACACCTCCCACACCACATATATCATACACCACCCACACCTGACCACAGATATCATACACCTCCCACACCACAGATATCATACACCTCCCACACCACATATATCATACACCTCCCACACCACAGATATCATACACCTCCCACACCACATATATCATACACCTCCCACACCTGACCACAGATATCATACACCTCCCACACCACATATATCATACACCTCCCACACCACAGATATCATACACCTCCCACACCACAGATATCATACACCTCCCACACCTGACCACAGATATCATACACCTCCCACACCACAGATATCATACACCTCCCACACCACAGATATCATACACCTCCCACACCACAGATATCATACACCTCCCACACCTGACCACAGATATCATACACCTCCCACACCTGACCACAGATATCATACACCTCCCACACCTGACCACAGATATCATACACCTCCCACACCACAGATATCATACACCTCCCACACCACAGATATCATACACCTCCCACACCACATATATCATACACCTCCCACACCACATATATCATACACCTCCCACACCACAGATATCATACACCTCCCACACCACAGATATCATACACCTCCCACACCTGACCACAGATATCATACACCTCCCACACCACATATATCATACACCACCCACACCTGACCACAGATATCATACACCTCCCACACCTGACCACAGATATCATACACCTCCCACACCACATATATCATACACCACCCACACCTGACCACATATATCATACACCTCCCACACCTGACCACAGATATCATACACCTCCCACACCACAGATATCATACACCTCCCACACCTGACCACAGATATCATACACCTCCCACACCACATATCATACACCACCCACACCTGACCACAGATATCATACACCTCCCACACCTGACCACAGATATCATACACCTCCCACACCTGACCACAGATATCATACACCTCCCACACCACAGATATCATACACCTCCCACACCACAGATATCATACACCACCCACACCTGACCACAGATATCATACACCTCCCACACCTGACCACAGATATCATACACCTCCCACACCTGACCACAGATATCATACACCTCCCACACCTGACCACAGATATCATACACCTCCCACACCTGACCACAGATATCATACACCTCCCACACCACATATATCATACACCTCCCACACCACAGATATCATACACCTCCCACACCACAGATATCATACACCTCCCACACCTGACCACAGATATCATACACCTCCCACACCACAGATATCATACACCTCCCACACCACATATATCATACACCTCCCATACTACAGATATCATACACCTCCCACACCTGACTACAGCCATACACCTCCCACTCCTGGCCACAGATATCATACACCTCCCACACCACAGATATCATACACCTCCCACACCTGACCACAGATATCATACACCTCCCACATCTGACCACAGATATCATACACCTCCCACACCACAGATATCATACACCTCCCATACCACAGATATCATACACCTCCCACACCACATATATCATACACCTCCCACACCTGACCACAGATATCATACACCTCCCACACCTGACCACAGATATCATACACCTCCCACACCACAGATATCATACACCTCCCATACCACAGATATCATACACCTCCCACACCTGACCACAGATATCATACACCTCCCACACCACAGATATCATACACCTCCCACACCACAGATATCATACACCTCCCACACCTGACCACAGATATCATACACCACCCACACCTGACCACAGATATCATACACCTCCCACACCTGACCACAGATATCATACACCTCCCACACCTGACCACAGATATCATACACCTCCCACACCACAGATATCATACACCTCCCATACCACAGATATCATACACCTCCCACACCTGACCACAGATATCATACACCTCCCACACCACAGATATCATACACCTCCCACACCACAGATATCATACACCTCCCACACCACAGATATCATACACCTCCCACACCACAGATATCATACACCTCCCACACTACAGATATCATACACCTCCCACACCTGACTACAGCCATACACCTCCCACACCTGACCACAGATATCATACACCTCCCACACCACAGATATCATACACCTCCCACACCACATATACACCTCCCACACCACAGATATCATACACCTCCCACACCTGACCAGATATCATACACCTCCCAAACCTGACCAGATATCATACACCTCCCACACCACATATATCATACACCTCCCACACCACATATATCATACACCTCCCACACCTGACTACATATATCATACACCTCCCACACTTGACCACATGTGGACAGAGGTTGACTGACCTAGATAAAGGTCTGCCACTATCTGCCAGAGATGAGAATGTGACTTCAAACAGTTCGTCCATGGCTGCGATACAGTCAACAAAATATCTGAACTTGCGGTGGAAGATGTCGATGGCGTGCTGTTTGACCTCCATAAAATCAGCTTTCCCCTGGGCTATCAGTGTCAGCTGTTGCTCTACAGCTGACCTCATAGTGGGTAGCACAAGATCTACATCAATCTGGGGACAATCATTGCAACAATCTGCACACAATCATTGCAACAATCTGCACACAATCATTGCAACAATCTGCACACAATCATTGCAACAATCTGCACACAATCGTTGCAACAATCTGCACACAATCGTTGCAACAATCTGCACACAATCGTTGCAATAGCCTGCACACAATCATTGCAACAATGTGGTGACAATCATTGCAACAATCTGCACACAATCATTGCAACAATGTGGTGACAATCATTGCAACAATGTGGTGACAATCATTGCAACAATCTGCACACAATCATTGCAACAATCTGCACACAATCATTGCAACAATCTATTCAACAATCTGGGGACAATCATTGCAACAATCTGGGGACAATCATTGCAACAATCTGCACGAGAACAGGCTTATTTGCAGACAATCATTCCCAACAAATTGTGGACAATGATTGCAACAATCCTTGACGCAAACAGACCACATCGACCTTCTGATAGCCATGACCACACTGACCTGATAGCCATGACCACACTGACCTTCTGATAACCATGGCCACACTGACCTTCTGATAGCCATGACCACACTGACCTTCTGATAGCCATGACCACACTGACCTTCTGATAGCCATGGCCACACTGACCTTCTGATAGCCATGACCACACTGACCTTCTGATAGCCATGGCCACACTGACCTTCTGATAGCCATGGCCACACTGACCTTCTGATAGCCATGACCACACTGACCTTCTGATAGCCATGGCCACACTGACCTTCTGATAGCCATGACCACACTGACCTGATAGCCATGACCACACTGACCTGATAGCCATGGCCACACTGACCTGATAGCCATGACCACACTGACCTTCTGATAGCCATGACCACACTGACCTTCTGATAGCCATGACCACACTGACCTTCTGATAGCCATGACCACACTGACCTTCTGATAGCCATGACCACACTGACCTTCTGATAGCCATGACCACACTGACCTTCTGATAGCCATGACCACACTGACCTTCTGATAGCCATGACCACACTGACCTGATAGCCATGACCACACTGACCTGATAGCCATGGCCACACTGACCTTCTGATAGCCATGACCACACTGTCCTTCTGATAGCCATGGCCACACTGACCTTCTGATAGCCATGACCACACTGACCTGATAGCCATGACCACACTGACCTGATAGCCATGGCCACACTGACCTTCTGATAGCCATGACCACACTGACCTTCTGATAGCCATGACCACACTGACCTTCTGATAGCCATGACCACACTGACCTTCTGATAGCCATGACCACACTGACCTGATAGCCATGACCACACTGACCTTCTGATAGCCATGACCACACTGACCTTCTGATAGCCATGGCCACACTGACCTTCTGATAGCCATGGCCACACTGACCTTCTGATAGCCATGACCACACTGACCTTCTGATAGCCATGACCACACTGACCTGATAGCCATGACCACACTGACCTTCTGATAGCCATGACCACACTGACCTTCTGATAGCCATGACCACACTGACCTTCTGATAGCCATGACCACACTGACCTTCTGATAGCCATGACCACACTGACCTGATAGCCATGACCACACTGACCTGATAGCCATGGCCACACTGACCTTCTGATAGCCATGACCACACTGACCTTCTGATAGCCATGACCACACTGACCTGATAGCCATGACCACACTGACCTTCTGATAGCCATGACCACACTGACCTGATAGCCATGACCACACTGACCTGATAGCCATGACCACACTGACCTTCTGATAGCCATGACCACACTGACCTGATAGCCATGACCACACTGACCTGATAGCCATGACCACACTGACCTTCTGATAGCCATGACCACACTGACCTGATAGCCATGACCACACTGACCTTCTGATAGCCATGACCACACTGACCTTCTGATAGCCATGGCCACACTGACCTTCTGATAGCCATGACCACACTGACCTTCTGATAGCCATGACCACACTGACCTTCTGATAGCCATGGCCACACTGACCTTCTGATAGCCATGACCACACTGACCTGATAGCCATGGCCACACTGACCTTCTGATAGCCATGACCACACTGACCTTCTGATAGCCATGCACTAAGACAATGCCCAGTGGTGTAGGTTTCAGCTTCCTGCCGCTGATGATGTTGACGTAGTTGCGTTCACAAATGTTGTTGATGTGTACAGGGATGCTGGCGTCCGTGCCTATGCCATGTTTCTCCATGAGTGTGATCAACTCACTTTCTGTCAGATAGTCTGGCGGGCAGGTCATTTTATCAACTAATTTCACCTGAAGTAAAAAGGTCACTTTATTTAAATTTGAGTACACATGTCTATTCTTAAGTAACTAGTTATGTACCTCCCCCAAAACAAGTCATTTCTTAAAGTAACTAGTTATGTACCTCCCCAAAAACAAGTCATTTCTTAAAGTAACTAGTTATGTACCTCCCCAAAAACAAGTCATTTCTTAAAGTAACTAGTTATGTACCTCCCCCAAAACAAGTCATTTCTTAAAGTAACTATGTACCTCCTCTAGCGCCAACTTTTCATCTTTCTTGAGGATGGGTATCTCTTCATCAGCTCCCAGTTGCTGCCAGGGCATGATGCTGGTGTAGCCTGGATCCACAAGAACTTTACCAGAGCAGGAAAACTTCTCCGAGCCAATCTCAAAGTAAATTGTTGTCTGTAGGTACGTGCAGTTGGGGCTGATCTGGTGGGTAGATTGGGTGCTCAAAGACATTTCTTTAGTGGTCCACGCACTATACCACACATGGTCCACACACAACAACACAACACCACACACATGGTACACACACAACACAACACACATGGTACACACACAACACCACACACATGGTACACACACAACACAACACACATGGTACACACACAACACACACAACACCACACACATGGTACACACACAACACAACACACATGGTACACACAACACACACATGGTCCACACACAACACCACACACAGCACCACACACAGGTCCACACACAGCACCACACATGGTCTACACACACCACCACACATGGTCCACACACAACACACACAACACCACACACAGCACCACACACAGGTCCACACACAGCACCACACATGGTCTACACACAACACCACACACAGCTCGCACACACACCACACACAGGTCCACACACAGCACCACACATGGCCTACTCACAGTTGCTATAAAGTGTCTGGTGATGTAGTCATACAGTCTCCAGCTGTCAGAGTCCAGCTCACTTTCTGTGGCCGATTTCATGGGGGTTATGGGTGGATGGTCACCTGCGTCGTGGCCCTTCCTGCAGGACACAAGGACAGTGGGATAAGGACATGAGGACAGTGGGATAAGGACATGAGGACAGTGGGATAAGGACACGAGGACAGTGGGATAAGGACACAAGGACAGTGGGATAAGGACACAAGGACAGTGGGATAAGGACACAAGGACAGTGGGATAAGGACACAAGGACAGTGGGATAAGGACACAAGGACAGTGGGACCAGGACACAAGGACAGTGGGACCAGGACATGAGGACAGTGGGATAAGGACACAAGGACAGTGGGATAAGGACATGAGGACAGTGGGATAAGGACACAAGGACAGTGGGACCAGGACATGAGGACAGTGGGATAAGGACACAAGGACAGTGGGACCAGGACATGAGGACAGTGGGATAAGGACAGTGGGATAAGGACACAAGGACAGTGGGATAAGGACACAAGGACAGTGGGATAAGGACACAAGGACAGTGGACCAGGACAGCATGAGGACAGTGGGACCAGGTCATCGTATAATGTATGCTTTATCAAGAATGTAATGCTATGCAAACAAAAGTGCCACCCCCCCCTCAAATTATGGTTATGTCCGTGTGAGTATTTTTATATAAATAATTTTTTAAAAATATGGCAGGGTAACTTTAACATTATGACACCATCAAAATGTTAGCTGTGAGACACCATCAAGGTGTCAGCTGTGAGACACCATCAAGGTGTCAGCTGTGAGACACCATCAAGGTGTCAGCTGTGAGACACCATCAAGGTGTCAGCTGTGAGACACCATCAAGATGTCAGACACCATCAAGATGTCAGACACCATCAAGATGTCAGACACCATCAAGATGTCAGACACCATCAAGATTTCAGACACCATCAAGATGTCAGACACCATCAAGGTGTCAGCTGTGAGACACCATCAAGGTGTCAGCTGTGAGACACCATCAAGGTGTCAGCTGTGAGACACCATCAAGGTGTCAGCTGTGAGACACCATCAAGGTGTCAGCTGTGAGACACCATCAAGATGTCAGACACCATCAAGATGTCAGACACCATCAAGATGTCAGACACCATCAAGATGTCAGACACCATCAAGATGTCAGACACCATCAAGATTTCAGACACCATCAAGATGTCAGCTGTGAGACACCATCAAGATGTCAGAGTGAGACACCATCAAGATGTGAGACACCATCAAGATGTCAGAGTGAGACACCATCAAGATGTCAGAGTGAGACACCATCAAGATGTGAGACACCATCAAGATGTGAGACACCATCAAGATGTCAGAGTGAGACACCATCAAGATGTGAGACACCATCAAGATGTGAGACACCATCAAGGTGTCAGCTGTGAGACACCATCAAGGTGTCAGCTGTGAGACCATCAAGATGTCAGAGTGAGACACCATCAAGATGTGAGACACCATCAAGATGTCAGACACCATCAAGATGTCAGCTGTGAGACACCATCAAGATGTCAGCGTGAGACACCATCAAGATGTCTGACACCATCAAGATGTCAGACACCATCAAGATGTCAGACACCATCAAGATGTCAGACACCATCAAGATGTGAGACACCATCAAGATGTGAGACACCATCAAGATGTGAGACACCATCAAGATGTCAGACACCATCAAGATGTCAGACACCATCAAGATGTCAGCGTGAGACACCATCAAGATGTCAAGACACCATCAAGATGTCAGACACCATCAAGATGTCAGCGTGAGACACCATCAAGATGTCAAGACACCATCAAGATGTGAGACACCATCAAGATGTCAGCGTGAGACACCATCAAGATGTCAGACACCATCAAGATGTCAGACACCATCAAGATGTCAGCTGTGAGACACCATCAACTTACTTTGGTTTCTGGATACCACTGTGTAGCAGTTCTGTAACAAAGTTGCCCCAATCAGGGTGGGATGACTGTTGCTTCAGTGTTCCTCTGGTGATACAACAAGGGAGGGGCTATAAGCTGACAATAACACACCTGTCTGTAAGACACCAGTCACCTGTCTGTAAGACACATGTCTGTAAGACACCAGTCACCTGTCTGTAAGACACCAGTCACCTGTCTGTAAGACACCAGTCACCTGTCTGTAAGACACCTGTCTGTAAGACACCAGTCACCTGTCTGTAAGACACCTGTCTGTAAGACACCAGTCACCTGTCTGTAAGACACCTGTCTGTAAGACACCAGTCACCTGTCTGTAAGACACCAGTCACCTGTCTGTAAGACACCTGTCTGTAAGACACCAGTCACCTGTCTGTAAGACACCAGTCACCTGTCTGTAAGACACCTGTCTGTAAGACACCAGTCACCTGTCTGTAAGACACCTGTCTGTAAGACACCAGTCACCTGTCTGTAAGACACCTGTCTGTAAGACACCAGTCACCTGTCTGTAAGACACCTGTCTGTAAGACACCAGTCACCTGTCTGTAAGACACCTGTCTGTAAGACACCAGTCACCTGTCTGTAAGACACCAGTCACCTGTCTGTAAGACACCTGTCTGTAAGACACCAGTCACCTGTCTGTAAGACACCTGTCTGTAAGACACCAGTCACCTGTCTGTAAGACACCTGTCTGTAAGACACCAGTCACCAGTCTGTAAGACACCTGTCTGTAAGACACCAGTCACCTGTCTGTAAGACACCAGTCACCTGTCTGTAAGACACCATTCACCTGTCTGTAAGACACCAGTCACCTGTCTGTAAGACACCAGACACCTGTCTGTAAGACACCAGTCTGTAAGACACCAGTCACCTGTCTGTAAGACACCAGTCACCTGTCTGTAAGACACCAGTCTGTAAGACACCAGTCACCTGTCTGTAAGACACCAGTCACCTGTCTGTAAGACACCAGTCTGTAAGACACCAGTCACCTGTCTGTAAGACACCAGTCTGTAAGACACCTCTCTGTGAGACACCTCTCTGTGAGACACCTCTCTGTAAGACATATGTCTGTAAGACACATGTCTGTAAGACTTGTCTGTAAGACTTGTCTGTATGATGCCTGTAAGACACATGTCTGTAAGACTTGTCTGTATGATGCCTGTAAGACACCTGTCTGTAAGACATGATGGTACCTACCTGAGGTCAAAGTTCTCTGGGTAGGAGTTGGTCTCAGTCCTGGGATAGCTGATGTATCCTTGCGTGTAGAGCCTCTCAGCCACTTGCATGGTGTGCTGGGGTCCCATGCCTGCAGTATTACACAGACAACTTGCAAAATTTACATGGACAACTTGCAACATTTACATGGACAACTTGCGACATTTACATGTACAACTTGCGACATTTACATGTACAACTTGCGACATTTACATGGACAACTTGCGACATTTACATGGACAACCTGCGACATTTACATGGACAACTTGCGACATTTACATGGACAACTTGTGACATTTACATGGACAACTTGCGACATTTACATGGACAACTTGTGACATTTACATGGACAACTTGCGACATTTACATGGACAACTTGCGACATTTACATGGACAACTTGCGACATTTACATGGACAACTTGCGACATTTACATGGACAACTTGTGACATTTACATGGACAACTTGTGACATTTACATGGACAACTTGCAAGATTTACATGGACAACCACTTCTTACATGTTGAACATTTTTCCATAAGCAGCAACATTGTATCTAACGTTTAACAAACCTAGCCCTGAGCTTGCTACCCTCAACATCTCCACTGTATTTAAGGCAAGGGGTTTTGGCTTCTCTCCCTTCTTCTGGACTGTTTCAAGGACCCTAAAACATGTGTAGAGTGTAAGACATGGAGGTACACAAGGACTCTAAAACATGTGTAGCGTGTAAAACATGGAGGGTACACAAGGACCCTAAAACATGTGTAGCATGTAAAACATGGAGGGTACACAATGACCCTAAAACATGTGTAGCGTGTAAAACATGGAGGGTACACAAGGACCCTAAAACATGTGAAATGTGTAAAACATGGAGGGTACACAAGGACCCTAAAGCATGTGTAGCATGTATCTAATGTTAGACTAGTGGTATGCATTAAATTATTTACTTACACATTAAATGATTTACTTACAAAGCTCCATCCCCAGTCTTGATGCGGTTAACAAACATTTGCGCTACATCTTTATCAAATAATCGGACTCTTTCCCAGTCTAGATTCATCAACTTTCCATTTGGTAACTGCACCTACATCAACACACACACAAGTTTTTACATCAACTTTCCATTTGGTAACTGCACCTACATCAACACACACACAAGTTTTTACATCAACTTTCCATTTGGTAACTGCACCTACATCAACACACACACAAGTTTTTACATAAACTTTCCATTTGGTAACTTCACCTACATCAACACACAGTTTTGACATGGCACACCATACCTGTACATGTATGACCCAATAGGGCTCAGGTTTAAAGGACTGTATTTTATCATGACGCTCTACACAAAATCCAAGAGTGGGAGTTTGACAAGGTCCATAAGATATAAGAGTGCTGTCAAGGTCGCCATACTTTCCCTGGACACCAAGATTGGATCATCATTGGTTGAGAGTAGAAAATAAGTAAGTCAATCTAAACCTAGGGATTCATATGATGTATGACATAGTTTGTGATGTTGTCAGCATGACATTGTGATGTTGTCAGCATGACATTGTGATGTTGTCAGCATGACATTGTGATGTTGTCAGCATGACATTGTGATGTTGTCAGCATGACATTGTGATGTTGTCAGCATGACATATCACTGAGCTATTGAATGGAGTGGAAGTTGTGCCATGGAGGTCATCAACTGACCTGAAAGAAGCGCGTCTGGTAGCGGGTAAAGGCACATCCAATCCTCAAGTCTAGCTCCTGTCTGGCGTCCACAGACAGAGCTTCATTTTTATTCGGCTCCACCAAGTTGTTCATGGCGTGCTTTATGTCTGTGTCAGTTATAGCACTGAACCTGGCTCGAAATATTTGCTGGGGACACAAGCACAAAGTAATCACAAAAACAGACAGAAGCACAAAGTAATCACAAAAACAGACAGAAGCACAAAGTAATCACAAAAACAGACAGAAGCACAAAGTAATCACAAAAACAGACAGAAGCACAAAGTAATCACAAAAACAGACAGAAGCACAAAGTAATCACAAAAACAGACAGAAGCACAAAGTAATCACAAAAACAGACAGAAGCACAAAGTAATCACAAAAACAGACAGAAGCACAAAGTAATCACAAAAACAGACAGAAGCACAAAGTAATCACAAAAACAGACAGAAGCACAAAGTAATCACAAAAACAGACAGAAGCACAAAGTAATCACAAAAACAGACAGAAGCACAAAGTAATCACAAAAACAGAAGCACAAAGTAATCACAAAAACAGACAGAAGCACAAAGTAATCACAAAAACAGACAGAAGCACAAAGTAATCACAAAAACAGACAGAAGCACAAAGTAATCACAAAAACAGACAGAAGCACAAAGTAATCACAAAAACAGACAGGAGTACAAAGTAATCACAAAAACAGACAGGAGTACAAAGTAATCACAAAAACAGACAGAAGCACAAAGTAATCACAAAAACAGACAGAAGCACAAAGTAATCACAAAAACAGACAGAAGCACAAAGTAATCACAAAAACAGACAGGAGTACAAAGTGATCACAAAAACAGACAGGAGTACAAAGTAATCACAAAAACAGACAGGAGTACAAAGTAATCACAAAAGAAGTTGCGGTGGGCAGATTCCATGGTAACAACCCAAAAAAATGGTTAACAAAAAAAAAGATTCTCCTTACCTGGCCAGGTAGGCGGTTCATGACACTCCTGACACAGTCTATGACTTCAAAACAAATATTCTCTCCTTCCTTGTCACAATCCAACCACAACACTAGGTAATCAGCACCAGTGGCCTGCAGAGGTTAAACACTGGTCAGACACACACACAGCTTGTTTGACACACACACACAGCTGGTCACACACACACACACAGCTGGTCACACACACACACACAGCTGGTCACACACACACACACAGCTGGTCACACACACACACAGCTTGTTTGACACACACACACAGCTGGTCTCACACACACACACAGCTGGTCAAACACACACACAGCTGGTCACACACACACACAGCTGGTCACACACACACACAGCTGGTCACACACACACACAGCTGGTCACACACACACACAGCTGGTCACAAACACACACACAGCTGGTCACACACACACACAGCTGGTCACACACACACACACAGCTGGTCACACACACACACAGCTGGTCACACACACACACACAGCTGGTCACACACACACACACACACAGCTGGTCACACACACACACAGCTGGTCGCACACACACAGCTGGTCACACACACACACAGCTGGTCACACACACACACACACAGCTGGTCACACACACACACAGCTGGTCACACACACACACACAGCTGGTCACACACACACACACACACAGCTGGTCACACACACACACAGCTGGTCGCACACACACAGCTGGTCACACACACACACAGCTGGTCACACACACACACAGCTGGTCACACACACACACACAGCTGGTCACACACACACACACAGCTGGTCACACACACACACAGCTGGTCACACACACACACACACACAGCTGGTCACACACACACACAGCTGGCCACACACACACACACAGCTGGTCACACACACACAGCTGGTCACACACACACACAGCTGGCCACACACACACACAGCTGGTCACACACACACACACAGCTGGTCACACACACACACACACAGCTGGTCACACACACACACACAGCTGGTCACACACACACACACACAGCTGGTCACACACACACACAGCTGGTCACACACACACACAGCTGATCACACACACACACACAGCTGGTCACACACACACACAGCTGGTCACACACACACACACACAGCTGGTCACACACACACACAGCTGGTCACACACACACACAGCTGGTCACACACACACACAGCTGGTCAAACACACACACAGCTGGTCACACACACACACAGCTGGTCACACACACACACAGCTGGTCACACACACACACAGCTGGTCACACACACACACAGCTGGTCACACACACACAGCTGGTCACACACACACACACACAGCTGGTCACACACACACACACAGCTGGTCACACACACAGCTGGTCACACACACACAGCTGGTCACACACACACACACAGCTGGCCACACACACACACACAGCTGGTCACACACACACACAGCTTGTATGACACACACACAGCTTGTTTGACACATACACACAGTTTGTCACACACACACACACACACAGATGGTCACACACACACACAGAGCTGGTCACACACACACAGCTTGTATGACACACACACAGCTTGTTTGACACATACACACAGTTTTTCACACACACACACACACACACAGATGGTCACACGCACAAACACACAGCTTGTCTGACACAAACATACAGCTTGTCTCACACACACACACACACACAGCTTGTCTGACACAAACATACAGCTTGTCTCACACACACACACACACACAGCTTGTCTGACACAAACATACAGCTTGTCTCACACACACACACACACACACACAGCTTGTCTGACACAAACATACAGCTTGTCTCACACACATACACACAGCTGGTCACATAAACACACACAGATGGTCACACAAACACACACAGCTTGTCTAACACATACACACAGCTGGTTACACACACACACACACAGCTGGTCACATACACACACACAGATGGTCACACAAACACATACACAGAGCTGGTCACACATACACAGCTGGATAATTTTGACAAAATAAAACTCTACATAACAAGTCTTGTTACCTCCTTGCGTAAAAACAGTGGCATGTGAAGGTTTGGGTTCGCCTCCTTTTTACTGATGGGGGCAGTAAACAGCTCCACCTAGTGGTTACCATTTGAAAAGAATATAAGCAGCATGTTCGCTTTATCCCAGCTAAACTTATGGTAAAACAAACTAGAAGCATGCAATAGATGAGCAGATCTCAACTCACCGGGTCCACTTTATCCCAGCTAAACTTATGGTAAAACAAACTAGAAGCATGCAATAGATGAGTTGATCTCAACTCACCGGGTCCACTTTATCCCAGTTGTTGAACTTGCCAGGGAAATCACAGCCCATCACATGACCACAGACAGAGGTCATTTTAAAGTGGACGCTCTCCCCATTAAACCTGCCTGTGTAATCATGGATTGAACATGCTCCATTGGATCCCTTCTTAGTGCTCATGTTTCCATTGGACAAGATTTTGGCTAGTGACTGGGCCAAAGATGGCTTTTCAGCCACCATCAATACTGTCTTCATGTCTTGGTTTGTTTAACCTGACACGCTCAAATACAGGCCTAAATAATATACAATGAACAGTACCTTAAAAATTTAATCAGTTCAACATAATCTAGTCTAGCTAGATTTTTTTGGATCTAGATAGATCTAGATATCTAGATCTAAATCTACTCAAGATCTAGAGTAACTCTACCAGTCCCAAACACTCCTTTCTGATTCGAGGCACATAATCTCATTACTATTTGATATAGAATGAAAACCAAAGCATAGAAATACTCTCCAGCCAAAGGAGAATGTAAATATTGTTAATATGTATTTACATTTTTTCCATTCAAACAGCCTTTCCTCCTTACAATCATTATATTTTTGCTGTTTTATTTTAGCTCATTTAAATAAATAATCTTGTATTATTTTGTGTGTGTAGTTCTGTGTTTCTGTGCCAAGTGTTTAAACAATGCCAAAAACAGACTGCGTACAAACCCTGTTAAACAATCTTTAGTAGCAGAAATATTTAGCAGAAACACTTAAAAATAACTCGTTATACAAAATTATTAATAAAGCAGTATTTAACGCAATTAAATTAAATCTATCCAAATTTAAACGTCCTGTAGGCCTATTAAAAACTAGCTGCATACCCGTGCTCCGCCACGGTGAATCTTTTTTAAATGTACCAACTTAGGAAAAGAACAAAACTAAATACAAACGCTTATACCCGTTCTTCGCCACGGTGTTGATATGGATATTACCTCAGAGTTTACGGATATTCCTTCAGCGCACTGCGCTGCGCGCGGGTGTCGGTAGGACTTTTGTGCGATGATGGATATTCACAAAAATTAATTACGGTAAAAAAAAATTGAGAGCCGACGCTCTCACGACCCGTCCACCCAGACATCTCTCCTCCCTGAACCCAAGGCGGAATTTATAAATTTAAACATGCCGCGGAACAACACGTTTTCACAGCCGTCCGCGCCCAGGGAGAGACTTCCAAAATCTATAGCGATGACTGACTGACACACTACCAGCAGCGTTATATTATAGATAAAAGCCATAAAAGATGACGAAAAAAAAATTATGACAGTACTTTCGGTGGATTCCGGAAATGTGTGACAGACTTTGCCATTGTTTTACTTTTTTTTACTGCTATACCATTCCGGAATAATAACCGACGCTAAACTAGGCCTAATTACTCAGTCAGTCAGAGTCAGCGACTGTCTCTAAACTAGCTCTAGACTTCTTTCTAGTCTCTTCTGCTAGTGCTAGTGCTGGAGTTGGGAGCGTCAAAAAACAACTCAAAACAGTTGTATGTACGTGATGTATTGATGTATTCAAGATCTCAAACTAGTTTATTCTAATCTACTAATCATCCTAATATTTTATTATAGAATTTAGTTAGATCTATAATATAATTACACTCATACAATACAATTTTATAGGCCTATGCTGTTTTTATTTTTGAATTCAATTTAATTTATTCCATTCTACCAGAATCATTCATGGTTAAATAATTTTTTACTGCTTGGCTTGGTTTTCGTTCGACACAGAGCTTTAAAAAAATGGGGCTGATTTTCTAAAAATAGATTTTGCCCTGTCCTAAAGTCTAATTTCTAATCTATTGAAAAGTTAACATTTTACGCGATGCAATTTTTTTTTAAATAATTAAAAATTAAATATATTTTAATCTGCGTAAACATATTGTATGTGCCATATGCATACAAGGTTAGTCCATCCTTTCACAGTAGCTAGTAGTCGGGGAGGGCGACCGCAGACCTTTTAGCCACCCTTTAACTTTAGGCCATTATAAATATCTATAATATAACGCTGGTGGTAGTGTGTCAGTCCTTCCTTAATTCCGTCATGGCTATAGAAGGATAATCCGCTCCAATGCTGGGACCCCCATCCGCGCGCAGCGCGGTAAACTATGAGGTAATATCCATATCCACACCGTAGCGAAGCACTGGTATAATCTATCTATCTATATATATAATTCCCTTCTGGGAGACGCTAGAAAACAAGCTGTAAACGCGCTCCCCTACCACCCCCACCCCTACATGGTCTGATGAGCTGTGGTTCACTATAAATGTTTACAAACAGAGCCGGGTTTAGTGACGACTATTAGGGGCAGATAATTTAGTTTGAAACGATTTTAAACGTAGGGGGGGGGGTAACAAAGTGGAGTTTACTTTAACGGAGGGGGGGGGGGAGGAGGGGGGTTATCGTCCTTAACGAGCTACTTATAGTGTGTTAAAGAAATATTTTCAGTGGCAGCGTTGGTAGTGTCGAATTCACAAATTATGAATAACTGAAAAGTAGAAAAAACAACAACTAAATAGCAGCGTATGATATGCCGCGGGTCGGCTCGTATATTATATTAATACTAACATATACCCGGAAATGCGAAATGACACGCGGCTTATATATCTATATATATAATTCTCTTCTTCGAGCCGTTAGAAAACAAGCTGCAAACGCTCTCCCTACCTCCCCACCCCTACATGGTTTTAGTGAGCTGTGTTCACTCTAAATGTTTACAAGCAGAGCCAACGATTTTAAACGTAGGGGGGGGGGGAGGAGGGGGGGGGGGGAAGGAAGGGGGGGGGTTATGGCCCTTAACGAGCTACTTATAGTGTTTTAAAGAAATATTTTCAGTGTCAGCGTTGGTACTGTCGAATTCACAAATTATGAATTATTGAAAATTAGAAACAACTAAATAGCGGCGTATGTTACGCCGCGGGCCGGCTCGTTATAGATTGTTGTGTCTACTTCTAGGAGAAATTGTACGGATTCGAATAAATAGTGTTAAATTGGGCATTTCTTGTAAAAATTAAACTTATCGTCATTATATTTTCCTTAAGCTATCCTACATCTTGTAGTCTTTCATTATCATTGATAACGTTTTCAACTAACAATAGCGTTATTGTAATAACGATGTAATAAAAATATTTACATTTGTTTGAAAAATACTAGACCAGCTGGCAAATACGACAACGAGAAGTTGGTGACCTGCCGATTAGCTCTATTACTGTTAGTTTTCATACAGTTTATAGTGTTTCAAATTCACTTTTCAGTCTCAAAGAAAAAAGTTCTTGAGCTCAACCGTCAATATTTAATGTATAAGTTAGTTCTAAGCAATAGAACAATTTTTTTTTTGTGCTATTGTTATTTATATTCGAATGGTCTCATCGTCGGTTGTAATCTATATTTCTATATGTATCATTATAGTCTGGATTCTGGATTTTTAAACAGAAATCTACAAGTTTGTAATTCAAAACTATAATTAAAAGGGACGCTACTCAAATCCTCGGTTCTAATCCCTGCCCGCATTCGTTCAGGTGTGAGACTCTACTTCACCTACGCTGTGACGACACCACACCGTCCACCCAAGACGCCACAGAAAGGCTGCGGGACTCGGGTAACCGGGCCGAGGTCTCTCCATCCCGGGGGGGGGGGGGGGTGGGGGGGGAGAGGCGGTTTTCATGTGTCCTGTTGGGTCCTTCACCCAGCGGACTCATGGGACGTCTTGGAAAAAAAGAGCGGGAGGCTATGGTCTCTGGGCTCTAAATACCCATCCCTACTCACCAGTCGCCGTGCGTAACTAAGCCACGTGTGATATGTCTCGCGACACGTCAGCGAGATGCTGAGAAACAAGCTCCCCATAGTGACAGGTACTGTTTGAAAAGCCAGAAATTCGCTTCCCTGTTTAGGATCATCCGTTAAATGACGTCACGCTTAACGCGGGGGGGGGGGGCGGATTCGTGTTAAAAGCTTTAGTATCTATTGGATACCTTTACTAATGTTAAGGAAGACACCCACGCTTTTCTTTATAGTTATTTAAATAGTAGTCTATAATTTATTTTCTACTTTTTAGTGCATCATTACATAAAAGCTTGTTATTAAAACGTTTTTTATGAATTTTTTTTTCAGTAATTTACATGTTTTATTTACAATAGAGTTACATGACTAAAAACCATTGCGCGCCTACTGAACATCACGTTCAGTAGGCGCGCAATGGTTTTTGAACGCAGCCATTACGTGATGGCGCAGCTATTGAAGATGATGACGCGTGTGGTGTGGTTGGCTAGACATGCCTACTAATTCGGTCCAAATTTTAATTAATTCATAAAAAATTAATTAGGCATCCAATTAAGTCAAATTTAGTTTCAGATTGCATTGTCTTCATGTCTTGACCCACGTGCTAACTTTGAATCGTATCGGTCAAGTAGAACTGTCCGAATTTTCACTCCTGCGTTTCCGTCTAGACTGACGACTGACGACAGAGGAAGTGAGTTAAATAAAAGCTTGTAAAAAAAAATTCTTAAAAAAAAATTCATAAAAAACGTTTTAATAACAAGCTTTTATGTAATGATGCACTAAAAAGTAGAAAATAAATTATAGACTACTATTTAAATAACTATAAAGAAAAGCGTGGGTCACTTTAGTATCTATTGGATACCTTTACTACTGTTAAGGAAGACACCCACGCTTTTCTTTATAGTTATTTAAATAGTAGTCTATAATTTATTTTCTACTTTTTAGTGCATCATTACATAAAAGCTTGTTATTAAAACGTTTTTTATGAATTTTTTTTTCAATACTTTACATGTTTTATTTACAATAGAGTTACATGACTAAAAACCATTGCGCGCCTACTGAACATCACGTTCAGTAGGCGCGCAATGGTTTTTGAACGCAGCCATTACGTGATGGCGCAGCTATTGATGGTGATGACGCGTGTGGTGTGGTTGGCTAGACATGCCTACTAATTCGGTCCAAATTTTAATTAATTCATAAAAAATTAATTAGGCATCCAATTAAGTCAAATTTAGTTTCAGATTGCATTGTCTTCATGTCTTGACCCACGTGCTAACTTTGAATCGTATCGGTCAAGTAGAACTGTCCGAATTTTCACTCCTGCGTTTCCGTCTAGACTGACGACTGACGACAGAGGAAGTGAGTTAAATAAAAGCTTGTAAAAAAAAATTCTTAAAAAAAAATTCATAAAAAACGTTTTAATAACAAGCTTTTATGTAATGATGCACTAAAAAGTAGAAAATAAATTATAGACTACTATTTAAATAACTATAAAGAAAAGCGTGGGTCACTTTAGTATCTATTGGATACCTTTACTACTGTTAAGGAAGACACCCACGCTTTTCTTTATAGTTATTTAAATAGTAGTCTATAATTTATTTTCTACTTTTTAGTGCATCATTACATAAAAGCTTGTTATTAAAACGTTTTTTATGAATTTTTTTTTCAATACTTTACATGTTTTATTTACAATAGAGTTACATGACTAAAAACCATTGCGCGCCTACTGAACATCACGTTCAGTAGGCGCGCAATGGTTTTTGAACGCAGCCATTACGTGATGGCGCAGCTATTGATGGTGATGACGCGTGTGGTGTGGTTGGCTAGACATGCCTACTAATTCGGTCCAAATTTTAATTAATTCATAAAAAATTAATTAGGCATCCAATTAAGTCAAATTTAGTTTCAGATTGCATTGTCTTCATGTCTTGACCCACGTGCTAACTTTGAATCGTATCGGTCAAGTAGAACTGTCCGAATTTTCACTCCTGCGTTTCCGTCTAGACTGACGACTGACGACAGAGGAAGTGAGTTAAATAAAAGCTTGTAAAAACGTTTTAATAACAAGCTTTTATGTAATGATGCACTAAAAAGTAGAAAATAAATTATAGACTACTATTTAAATAACTATAAAGAAAAGCGTGGGTCACTTTAGTATCTATTGGATACCTTTACTAATGTTAAGGAAGACACCCACGCTTTTCTTTATAGTTATTTAAATAGTAGTCTATAATTTATTTTCTACTTTTTAGTGCATCATTACATAAAAGCTTGTTATTAAAACGTTTTTTATGAATTTTTTTTCAGTACTTTACATGTTTTATCTACAATAGAGTTACATGACTAAAAACCATTGCGCGCCTACTGAATATCACGTTCAGTAGGCGCGCAATGGTTTTTGAACGCAGCCATTACGTGGTCGTGATGGCGCAGCTATTGATGACGCGTGTGGTGTGGTTGGCTAGACATGCCTACTTATTCGGTCCAAATTTTAATTAATTCATAAAAAATCAATTAGGCATCCAATTAAGTCAAATTTAGTTTCAGATTGCATTGTCTTCATGTCTTGACCCACGTGCCAACTGTGAATCGTGTCGGTCAAGTAGAACTGTCCGAATTTTCACTCCTGCGTTTCCGTCTAGAATGACGACAGACTGACGAGGAAGTGAGTTAAATAAAAGCTTGTAAAAAGAAACGTATTTAAAATTAATAATATAAATACAAAAAAAACATAAAATGTTGTAATTTGTTTTAATTGAAAAAAACAAACATTTTTTTCTAAACCCGAACAGGCCAGCAATGTGTATCTTATGTTCGTATTTAGTGTTTGTATATATATATATATATAAATATATTCATATACAGGCCTATATATATATATATATATGGGGGGGGGGGGGCTAAAAATTTTTAGTGTGGGGTGGCCCTTTTTTTTCTAGTTCCGCCACTGCACCAAGTGCACGCCAAAGAAAATGTGCATAATAGTGCGGAATATTATTAGTACTTTATAATTAATTCACATGCGTTTTTTGAGAAATCGGAAAAAGTGTAAATTACTACTTCCGGTCAACGGAAATGACTCAACTTTGGTAGAGAATTAGATCTTTTACCAACATGTGAAATTTCATTACTAATCTATCTGAATTAGTACTCAAGTTATGGGCTTTTGAAAAAATTGAAAGTATAATAAGTTCCACTTCTGGTTATCAGAAATCGCTCAAAAGTTGATACGGATCTACGATTTTGAAAAAAATACTTATATATGAAATTTCATCAACCTAGCTGTATGGTACTCAAGTTATCGTGTTTACAGACACACACACACATAGAAGATTGCAAAACTATGTTTTTCCGACCCAGGAAGCTGTAAAAGTAAAACGTCGAGATTTGCTAAAATCTCGTTTTTTTTTTTTTTTTTTTTTTTTTTGCACGATTACAAGACTTATTTCATACTTTGTATATATACGAGAAAGTAAAAACACAAACACCAAAATTTAAAAAAATATTGCTTCATATATTTGTTTGTGGTCATACAATGTTAGCTAATAAATAAAATATCCAATGCACCTGCAATGTATAGATATTATTACAATAATGTTAACTGCTTACATAATTGTGTACATTTATTTAATTTATTCAGTTTAAATGAAAAGAAAATGTACAAGCATTTACTAGAAAAATGCAAGATTGAATTGAATCGTTTACATAAAAATAAAATGAGACCATATTTTCAAGGGGTCTACAAATAAAGCAATATCAACATATGTAACAAGCATGTCAAGCAATCCACAAATAAAGCTAAGTTGAAAGAGGTTGAAACAAATATTTGAAGAGATCATTGGTGCCATACTAATGGGATGAAGATTTGAACAAGAAAGACAGAGCAATAGCTGGAATGTTTAACTGATCAGTCTGGTCAAACTAATATCAGGCAGGCTACATACCAAACTATACGAGTTTCAGTCAAGACTTTGAGAAGTCCCTCCAGCCTAAAAACAATACACATCAATTTGTATTCTAAAGTTAGGATGTATTTCATGGTTTTTACAATAAAAACCCTCATCAGCTGTTGGAGGGGGGGGGGGGGGGAAGGAATTTGTTAAGGACATACAAGTGCAACCTTTTCAGCACAGAAAATAACAGTAAGGTTACTATAAAATATGCCAGCTTCCATTTTGATTCAATCGATTTTTAACTTGAATCCATTCATATTTAAACAAAATCTTGTTAGCAATACCACAGTCATGAATAGAATAAGTCAGGTTTGTAATCATTGTGGACTGGTTTTGGTTAAAACTATTCTTTGTTTGCCCACACCTATCATGTGCAGAGTTTCTTCCAGGCATCACCCCTCCCTCCAGGAAAAAAATGTCTGGAAGAAACACTGATCATGTTTGCTCAATCTTATTGGCACTCTGGGCTGTAGACTTATTGTTATCAGGCAGTCTTCTTAATGAATTTCTCTAGTTTAGTAATAACAAGAGAGAAAAACAAGGTAGGAAGTAGGTTTGTCAAGCCTACTTTACACAAGGTAGGAAGTAGGTTTGTGAAGCCTACTTTATACAAGGTAGGAAGTAGGTTTGTGAAGCCTACTTTACACAAGGTAGGAAGTAGGTTTGTGAAGCCTACTTTACACAAGGTAGGAAGTAGGTTTGTGAAGCCTACTTTACACAAGGTAGGAAGTAGGTTTGTGAAGCCTACTTTACACAAGGTAGGAAGAAGGTTTGTCAAGCCTACTTTACACAAGGTAGGAAGTAGGTTTGTGAAGCCTACTTTACACAAGGTAGGAAGTAGGTTTGTGAAGCCAACTTTACACAAGGTAGAAAGTAGGTTTGTGAAGCCTACTTTATACAAGGTAGGAAGTAGGTTTGTGAAGCCTACTTTACACAAGGTAGGAAGTAGGTTTGTGAAGCCTACTTTACACAAGGTAGGAAGTAGGTTTGTGAAGCCTACTTTACACAAGGTAGGAAGAAGGTTTGTCAAGCCTACTTTACACAAGGTAGGAAGTAGGTTTGTGAAGCCTACTTTACACAAGGTAGGAAGTAGGTTTGTGAAGCCTACTTTACACAAGGTAGGAAGTAGGTTTGTGAAGCCTACTTTACACAAGGTAGGAAGTAGGTTTGTGAAGCCTACTTTACACAAGGTAGGAAGTAGGTTTGTGAAGCCTACTTTACACAAGGTAGGAAGTAGGTTTGTCAAGCCTACTTTACACAAGGTAGGAAGTAGGTTTGTCAAGCCTACTTTACACAAGGTAGGAAGTAGGTTTGTCAAGCCTACTTTACACAAGGTAGGAAGTAGGTTTGTCAAGCCTACTTTACACAAGGTAGGAAGTAGGTTTGTGAAGCCTACTTTACACAAGGTAGGAAGTAGGTTTGTGAAGCCTACTTTACACAAGGTAGGAAGTAGGTTTGTGAAGCCTACTTTACAACCTTAAAGAATAACCATGTCGCCCACACCAGGACTCAACAAAAAAAAACAAGTGTAAACAAATATTGCCATGATCAATAAAATATTTGATTCAAATACAAAGCATCTAGTATAAGTACTATCACAGGTCTAAAAACAAGTTGAGATTTCCATCAGTAACAAATAATAAAAGCCTATTCATTCAATTTTTTGGTCATTGTCATATCTTGGGCAGGGCAGCATTCAAAGCTGTCTAAGACAACATTTGAAATGTAAATCTATTCCATATATTAAGCTAAGGACTGAGACAGAATTGAATGAGATCTAACCAATGTTAACTAGCATTTTGTCAATAAAACTAGAGTAAGTACAACACTTGAGGGTCCAGAGAGATGACGACACAAATAACGGGAGGGCCAGTCCATTTATGGGAGCAGGATAGATAGTATGTACAATTGGTATCATTCATTCTAAGATATCAAGTATAAACATTGTGACATGATTGTAGAAGCAGTATATAGATAATTACCCGTGAATAAATACATTCTTTAAATCCAGTAGTACAGGAATGCCAGAGGTTACTTGTTAGGATATTACAATAGTGCTGTATAATTGTCCATTAACATAGGATATAAGTTGAGCTGAACCAGCCACATGTAAGTCTAGTGTCTTCATTGCACAATAGCAGTAGCGTAGCGAGGGGGGGGCGGGGGGGGACATATGTCCCCGGGCGCCGACCTTAGGGGGGACGCCAAATTGAAAGTTTGAGGGGGGGGGGTGCAAATGAAAAGTTCGAGGGGGGGTGCAAATCGAAAGTTTGAGGGGGGGGGGTGCAAATGAAAAGTTCGAGGGGGGGGGGGTGCAAATCGAAAATTTGCTCCCAAGGGGGCGCCAAATTGAAAGTATGTCCCCGGGCGCCGGGAAGGGTCGCTACGCCTCTGCACAATAGTAATCTCTTTTTATAGACTCGGTCACAGGGAGGCAGCAGCCACACACCAGAGGTCAAACTAACAGTTTACACCAGAGGTCAAGCTAACAGTTTACACCAGAGGTCAAACTAATATTGAGTTTACACTAGAGGTCAAAGGTTAAAATAAGTTAATAATAAAAACAGCAGACACAGATTAAGATGGCATCTGTTGAGAACCTATCAGGCTGTCCCCACAAGACTCACTGGCCTCTGTGCTCTCTGTGGTGTCAAAGGTTGATCGAGGTCGCCAAATGCCAACACAATCACTACATAAACAAAAAGGGAAAGTTTGGCTTGTTAAAACCATGCTTTAAAACCTTGTCAATTCCAATAGGAGAGTTTACTATTTTAAAAAATGGCCCATACACTACAATGAAAGAGAGAAGTCTTTGAAATAAGATTTATATAACACTATTAAAAAATACACTTTGTATGACAACATAAAATATGCTAACATGAAATCAATTAAAAATGCTGTTGAAATATACCAAGATTAATAAAACAATGAAAAAGTTAAATTTTTTATGATATATCTATTCATAATATTCAAATTTTTGGTGGACCTCCTAATCAAATGGCACTAAAAGATAAATGTAACAGTTAACAACATATTCTAATAATAATACCAGACTCAAGATAACCACTTTAAAATAACATGTTAATAAACAATAAGCACATGGTTGCTACTAAGTAAAGATATTAAGAATAAAGCGAAATTAATAAAAAGGTGCATCACATTTTTGTAAAACAAAGTTAATAAAGCAAGCACAGGCAAATTCTATAAATAAAAGCAAGAGGCAATGTCCCAAAAACAAACAGGTATAGCAGCATACGTAATACTGATTGGACCAGCCAAACTAGCATTCATGGCAGTACAATGGCAGTGACATGGTCAGTAGGTCAGTTTCATTCTAATCACAGGTCAGTTAGTTCATTGAAAAATGACAGGGTTGGTCAGTTTGGTGAAGTTAGGATGCCTGGGTCTGGTAGCTTGAATGATGATGATGGGTGAGTGGCTTAGTAAAATGAAATCATATGTGTTTACCCACAAACTTAAAGCTGTTGAAGCAATTAAATGCCAATATAGAAAACTAGTTAATCAGAGTCCAGTAAAAGCACACTATCTGTAATGTTTGAAGCTTGTGTCCTGCAGCTGGGGAGTCGCTCTCCAGAAATGGACTGCAGTTCCACTGAGTGGTAGAAAAAAATGTCAGTACAAGTGTAAGAATTCTTCTTTCAAATGTCAGGACTTTAGTTTAACATGTCAGGGTTCTCGTTTAACTTGTCAGGGTTCTGGTTTAACTTGTCAGGTTCTAGTTTAACATATCAGGTTATAGTTTAACATGTCAGGATTCTGGTCATATCAGGTTATAGTTAAAATGTCAGGATTCTGGTTTAACAAATCAGGGTTCTGGTTTAACATGTCAGAGTTTTGGTTTAACATGTCAGGATTATCCTAATGAAATTCTTGCAACAAATATTGAAAAACATGAGATATTTTAAAATAAAAAATATTTTTCAGGTTTCATTTCATCTACTACTTCAGTGATTATAAAGAACTCCATTTTTTATCCAATACATCTTATCTTGCATTCTGCTTTCATCTTTGGTAAATATTTTTTAATTAGAACATAATTTTTTTATAAAGTAGGCCTACACCATTTTTATAATCTAGTTCTGTTTTCTTTAACTTGGCACTTTATCCTCCACTTCTACATATAAGAATTTTGCAATCCTTTTGAAGCTTGTTTTAAATTTAGTCTGAAAAAAGTGCCACTTTTCTGAAAAATCCTTACTAGTAGCAGACCCCCCCCTCCCCATCTGACGACTATATGAACAATGCAGTTGCTAAATGTATTGAAAGATTTAATGAGCAACTAATGCACCTATAACTGGAGTCAAAGAATGTGTAAAAGCTTGTTGTTATAAAGATCCTTATTATTGTTTCAATGATCTACTACAGCTTTTGTATTGAGCACTCTCATGTTTGACACCACAAACCATCACTGTATACCCAGCAGCCTTTTATCAAGCACCCTATTGATTTATTTTACTAGGAAACCATTTTTATCAGGAATACCTCTCCTTAAGTTCATTATGGTATTTTATTTTGTTTCTAGAACCATAGTTTTCTTTAGTTAATTTTTTTTAATAAAGCATAGAATTTATCGAGACAATTTTATTAAATAACTAATCTGTTTTTATAATGAAGAGGTCATTTAATACATAATAAGAGCACATTATCCCATTAACCTATTCCCCCCTCCCCCAAGAACACATGTAATTGTTTCTCTCCATCTCTATATCCCATTAACCTATTCCCCCCTCCCCCTCCCCCAAGAACACATGTAATTGTTTCTCTCCATCTCTATATTCCATTAACCTATTCCCCCCCCCCCCTCCACCAAGAACACATGTAATTGTTTCTCTCCATCTCTATATCCCATTAACCTATTCCCCCCCTCCCCCTCCCCCAAGAACACATGTAATTGTTTCTATCCATCTCTATATGCCATTAACCTATTCCCCCCTCCCCCAAGAACACATGTAATTGCTTCTCTCCATCTCTATATTCCATTAACCTATTCCCCCCTCCACCAAGAACACATGTAATTGTTTCTATCCATCTCTATATTCCATTAACCTATTCCCCCCCCCCCCTCCACCAAGAACACATGTAATTGCTTCTCTCCATCTCTATATTCCATTAACCTATTCCCCCCTCCACCAAGAACACATGTAATTGTTTCTATCCATCTCTATATTCCATTAACCTATTCCCCCCTCCACCAAGAACACATGTAATTGCTTCTCTCCATCTCTATATTCCATTAACCTATTCCCCCCTCCACCAAGAACACATGTAATTGTTTCTATCCATCTCTATATTCCATTAACCTATTCCCCCCTCCACCAAGAACACATGTAATTGCTTCTCTCCATCTCTATATTCCATTAACCTATTCCCCCCTCCACCAAGAACACATGTAATTGTTTCTATCCATCTCTATATTCCATTAACCTATTCCCCCCTCCACCAAGAACACATGTAATTGCTTCTCTCCATCTCTATATTCCATTAACCTATTCCCCCCTCCACCAAGAACACATGTAATTGTTTCTATCCATCTCTATATTCCATTAACCTATTCCCCCCTCCACCAAGAACACATGTAATTGCTTCTCTCCATCTCTATATTCCATTAACCTATTCCCCCCTCCACCAAGAACACATGTAATTGCTTCTCTCCATCTCTATATTCCATTAACCTATTCCCCCCTCCACCAAGAACACATGTAATTGCTTCTCTCCATCTCTATATCCCATTAACCTATTCCCCCCCCCCCACCAAGAACACATGTAATTGCTTCTCTCCATCTCTATATCCCATTAACCTATTCCCCCCCTCCCCCTCCCCCAAGAACACATGTAATTGTTTCTATCCATCTCTATATGCCATTAACCTATTCCCCCCTCCCCCAAGAACACATGTAATTGCTTCTCTCCATCTCTATATTCCATTAACCTATTCCCCCCTCCACCAAGAACACATGTAATTGTTTCTATCCATCTCTATATTCCATTAACCTATTCCCCCCCCCCCCCTCCACCAAGAACACATGTAATTGCTTCTCTCCATCTCTATATTCCATTAACCTATTCCCCCCTCCACCAAGAACACATGTAATTGTTTCTATCCATCTCTATATTCCATTAACCTATTCCCCCCTCCACCAAGAACACATGTAATTGCTTCTCTCCATCTCTATATTCCATTAACCTATTCCCCCCTCCACCAAGAACACATGTAATTGTTTCTATCCATCTCTATATTCCATTAACCTATTCCCCCCTCCACCAAGAACACATGTAATTGCTTCTCTCCATCTCTATATTCCATTAACCTATTCCCCCCTCCACCAAGAACACATGTAATTGTTTCTATCCATCTCTATATTCCATTAACCTATTCCCCCCTCCACCAAGAACACATGTAATTGCTTCTCTCCATCTCTATATTCCATTAACCTATTCCCCCCTCCACCAAGAACACATGTAATTGTTTCTATCCATCTCTATATTCCATTAACCTATTCCCCCCTCCACCAAGAACACATGTAATTGCTTCTCTCCATCTCTATATTCCATTAACCTATTCCCCCCTCCACCAAGAACACATGTAATTGCTTCTCTCCATCTCTATATTCCATTAACCTATTCCCCCCTCCACCAAGAACACATGTAATTGCTTCTCTCCATCTCTATATTCCATTAACCTATTCCCCCCTCCACCAAGAACACATGTAATTGCTTCTCTCCATCTCTATATCCCATTAACCTATTCCCCCCCCCCCACCAAGAACACATGTAATTGCTTCTCTCCATCTCTATATTCCATTAACCTATTCCCCCCTCCACCAAGAACACATGTAATTGCTTCTCTCCATCTCTATATGCCATTAACCTATTCCCCCCTCCCCCCCTCCCCCAAGAACACATGTAATTGCTTCTCTCCATCTCTATATGCCATTAACCTATTCCCCCCTCCACCAAGAACACATGTAATTGCTTCTCTCCATCTCTATATTCCATTAACCTATTCCCCCCCCCCCTCCCCCAAGAACACATGTAATTGCTTCTCTCCATCTCTATATTCCATTAACCTATTCCCCCCTCCACCAAGAACACATGTAATTGCTTCTCTCCATCTCTATATCCCATTAACCTATTCCCCCCTCCACCAAGAACACATTTACCCTAGTCCAATCCCTGTTAGTATAACAAGTCTGAGATGGGAAATATTCTGCTGCCAACAACATTACACAACTGAAAACTTCTCTAAACACAGTTAGATGTTATTAAATTAGACACTGTTAGAAATGTAGATAGATATTGTTCAATTATTGGGTTAGGAAGCCATCTACTGTTAGTTAGGATTTTCTAGATATATTAGATATGCTCAATTAGTTATTATGTGGAATAAAACAAAAAGCAGTTTCTAGTACTAATAAAAAAAGTTGACAAGATACAAGTAGCATGTATGGTGTATCAAACTACACAGATCTGTTAGGTTTACACAAGCAAGCAGTATTCACTGGCTGTGTATCAAACTGCACAAGATCTGTTAGGTTTACACAAGCAAGCAGTATTCACTGGCTGTGTATCAAACTGCACAAGATCTGTTAGGTTTACACAAGCAAGCAGTATCCATTGGCTGTGTATCAAACTACACAGATCTGTTAGGTTTACACAAGCAAGCAATATTCACTGGCTGTGTATCAAACTACACAGATCTGTTAGGTTTACACAAGCAAGCAATATTCACTGGCTGTGTATCAAACTACACAGATCTGTTAGGTTTACACAAGCAAGCAGTATCCACTGGCTGTGTATCAAACTACACAGATCTGTTAGGTTTACACAAGCAAGCAGTATCCACTGGCTGTGTATCAAACTACACAGATCTGTTAGGTTTACACAAGCAAGCAGTATCCACTGGCTGTGTATCAAGCTACACAGATCTGTTAGGTTTACACAAGCAAGCAATATTCACTGGCTGTGTATCAAACTACACAGATCTGTTAGGTTTACACAAGCAAGCAGTATTCACTGGCTGTGTATCAAACTATACAGATCTGTTAGGTTTACACAAGCAAGCAATATTCACTGGCTGTGTATCAAACTACACAGATCTGTTAGGTTTACACAAGCAAGCAATATTCACTGGCTGTGTATCAAACTACACAGATCTGTTAGGTTTACACAAGCAGTATTCACTGACTGTGTATCAAACTCACTTGGATGCTGTGAAAATGGATGTGGAGTTGGTTGCTATACTGTTGATGGGAGAAGGATGGGCCCGTAGTTCCCCCAAACAAAGGCAAGTGTCTGGATGCCACATCTTGAGGAGGCCACCGCGGCACCCACTCAGCAAAATGTTGGTACCAGGTATGAAGTCTAAGGCACAAACCCAGTCTTTGTGGGCTCCATTGATGGACTACAAGAAAAACAAGAGTACGCCTGTTGAACCAGATGTCACAAGATGAATGATCAGTAAAATATGTATGTCCTCACAGTGTCATTTCTAGACAAGTCTGAAGGTTTGCAGGCTGGTCAATCTCACACACAGCCATGTTCTCTGTCTAGACTTGTAAGATCAAACTTAACTTTCTTGTCTTCTAAAGCTAACCCTATCTAGCCTTCTAAAGCTTAACCCTATCTAGCCTTCTAAAGCTTAACGCTATCTAGCCTTCTAAAGCTTAACCCTATCTAGCCTTCTAAAGCTTAACCCTATCTAGCCTTCTAAAGCTTAACCCTATCTAGCCTTCTAAAGCTTAACCCTATCTAGCCTTCTAAAGCTTAACCTTATCTAGCCTTCTAAAGCTTAACCCTATCTAGCCTTCTAAAGCTTAACCCTATCTAGCCTTCTAAAGCTTAAACCTATCTAGCCTTCTAAAGCTTAACTTTGATTGTTTAGACGTCTGAAGTGGTTATTGAGAGTAAACAGAAACCATATAAAAATGTTAAAATTAACAAGCATTTAATGCACTGAAAATTTTTATAAATCAATTAGCATGCCCGTCCACAGGCATTGCTGCAGGGTTAGAAGAAAGTCTGTGGATAGCCCGGCCGAATCGCACCAGATTCAGTTTAGTGAATGACTATAATGCCCCATTGTATCCATAGTCTATCGCACTGCTGAAAAAGAACGTAGGTGCAATAGCGCTCAGGGGATAGCCCGGGGCGCCACATCACACCCTGCAGAGATGCCGGAGGACGCGCCTGATTTGGTGAGCGACTATAGCAACCCGTTGTATCCATAGCCAATCAAAATGTTTAAAATGAACATAGGTGCCATGGTGCTGCCGGGGAGCCATAGAACGCGCCTGATTTAATAAAGTCAACAATTATTGTTGCCCATCCTGTCTTTAGTGTATAGCCTTTTATTGAAACGAATGTAGGCTCCATATTGCTTGCAGGGGAGACTGGGGCGGTTCAGGTCGCAAAAACGATGGGGCGCCTGTTGCAGTTTTACACTGAATATAGTAGTATCCCTTACCTGCTATGCATGACCCCCGATTAACGTATGCCAAGTGCTAACATAGCCGCTCTGGAACTCTGGGCGCCAAACTGTGTATTGATGAAAATCGCACCCTCTGGGGCACAGCCCATAAATTTTAAATTGAAAAATTAGAGTAAATTTTTTTGCAGAAACCTCCCCTGGAATGTTCTAATCCACTCTCCAAAGTTTAAAGAGGATTGGATGAACGGTGTCAAACTGCAATTGACTTGTATTTTTATGTACCTTATATAGAGAAGAATCAAATCGTGCCATGCCGGGCACCACCCCTGCGAACTGTTCTTGCAGATACCTCCTCAGGAGCATTCTCTAAAAACTTCGGCGCCAAGTCACACCCTTATAATCTCCCCTTTTATAACTGAATTTAGTAATCTTTTAATAAAATTTTAATGATTAATTTAATGTCTAATTAGATTGAAAAATAGATAACCTTGCATTGCCATCAAAGTTGAACACGTTTGAAAAGTTTGAACAAAATCGGTGCATTAGAAATGGATCAAAATTGTATGCCACAAACAAGCAAACAGACAGAAGTTGTGAAGTAAATAAAAGCTTATATAAGTGAACCCACATGTTTGAGCTGGTTAGACTTTAAGTCCCACTTCTTGATGCACATGTCTCTGGATCCACTAAACAGGGTGTCTGAGGCCAGCGCTAGGGCCTGGATGCCGTCATAGTGGGGGGGCTCCAGGTTAAACTTGGGGCTCAGCACTCCAGCTGCATCTTCTATCACCTCAAACACCTGCAGCACACAAACTTACTTCATTCAATCATACAGGTTAAACTTGGGGCTCAGCACTCCAGCTGCATCTTCTATCACCTCAAACACCTGCAGCACACAAACTTACTTCAGGCATTCAATTATACAGCTGGCATTCAATCATACAGCTGGCATTCAATCATACAGCTGGCATTCAATTACACAGCTGGCATTCAATTACACAACTGGCATTCAATTACACAGCTGGCATTCAATTACACAGCTGGCATTCAATTATACAGCTGGCATTCAATCATACGGCTGGCATTCAATCACACAGCTGTCATTCAGACACACAGCTGGCATTCAATCATACAGCTGGCATTCAATTACACAGCTGGCATTCAATCACACAGCTGGCATTCAATCACACAGCTGGCATTCAATCACACAGCTGGCATTCAATCACACAGCTGGCATTCAATCACACAGCTGGCATTCAATCATACAGCTGGCATTCAATTACACAGCTGGCATTCAGACACACAGCTGGCATTCAATCATACAGCTGGCATTCAATCATACAGCTGGTATTCAATCATACAGCTGGCATTCAATCACACAGCTGGCATTCAATCACACAGCTGGCATTCAATCATACAGCTGGCATTCAATTACACAGCTGGCATTCAATCATACAGCTGGCATTCAATCACACAGCTGGCATTTAAAGATACAGCTTGCATTCAACCCATTCCTACCTTAATGTAATGATCCTTTGATCCAGAAATGACCCGTCTGTTGTCAGTGTCCACCACCAAAGACATGACTGGAGCCTGATGACCACTCAGTTTCCCAGCCAGGCTAAACCTTCAAGTGACAAAACTCAAGTGTAACTAGTTCAACCAAGATTAGTCTATTACAACAAAACACTCTCACTATAACTAGCCATCAATAACAATAACACTTAATTGCTTACATTTACTGCCTTGTTAAACCTGTCTAACCATAACCCTAACCCACACACTGCATGAAACCATCTAAACCAAACCTTCTTAGGTCCCAGATTTGAACAGCATTTCCAGCAGCACAAAAAAGTGTTTTGCCATCTGTGCTGATCTGGAGATCATTGATCTGATGGTCACGGCTGGAGGAGTCACTCTGGCGGTTGCTGGTCAAGGTAGGGAGTCCACTGGTAGTTAGGCCAGCAGAGCTGTAGATGTAGGCCACAGACCAGATTATAGCAGACGCAAGACAGGAATAAAGCAGACACAAGACAGGAATAAAGCAGACACAAGACAGGAATAAAGCTAACACAAGACTGGAATAAAGCAAACACAAGACAGGAATAAAGCAGACACAAGACAGGAATAAAGCAAACACAAGACAGGAATAAAGCAGACACAAGACAGGAATAAAGCAGACACAAGACAGGAATAAAGCTAACACAAGACTGGAATAAAGCAAACACAAGACAGGAATAAAGCAGACACAAGACAGGAATAAAGCAAACACAAGACAGGAATAAAGCAGACACAAGACAGGAATAAAGCAAACACAAGACAGGAATAAAGCAGACACAAGACAGGAATAAAGCAAACACAAGACAGGAATAAAGCAGACACAAGACAGGAATAAAGCAGACACAAGACAGGAATAAATCAGACACAAGACAGGAATAAAGCAGACACAAGACTGGAATAAAGCAGACACAAGACAGGAATAAAGCAGACACAAGACTGGAATAAAGCAGACACAAGACAGGAATAAAGCAGACACAAGACAGGAATAAAGCAGACACAAGACAGGAATAAAGCTAACACAAGACTGGAATAAAGCAAACACAAGACAGGAATAAAGCAGACACAAGACAGGAATAAAGCAAACACAAGACAGGAATAAAGCAGACACAAGACAGGAATAAATCAGACACAAGACAGGAATAAAGCAGACACAAGACTGGAATAAAGCAGACACAAGACAGGAATAAAGCAGACACAAGACTGGAATAAAGCAGACACAAGACAGGAATAAAGCAGACACAAGACAGGAATAAAGCAGACACAAGACAGGAATAAAGCAGACACAAGACAGGAATAAAGCAGACACAAGACAGGAATAAAGCTAACACAAGACTGGAATAAAGCAAACACAAGACAGGAATAAAGCAGACACAAGACAGGAATAAAGCAAACACAAGACAGAAATAAAGCAGACACAAGACAGAAATAAAGCAGACACAAGACAGGAATAAAGCAGACACAAGACAGGAATAAAGCAGACACAAGACAGGAATAAAGCAGACACAAGACAGGAATAAAGCTAACACAAGACTGGAATAAAGCAGACACAAGACAGGAATAAAGCAGACACAAGACTGGAATAAATCAGACACAAGACAGGAATAAAGCAGACACAAGACTGGAATAAAGCAATAAAGCAGACACAAGACTGGAATAAAGCAATAAAGCAGACACAAGACTGGAATAAATCAGACACAAGACTGGAATAAATCAGACACAAGAAAAAAAATGACCTGAGTGTTTTAATACAAGATTCTGATCCTCTCCTCATGTCCCAGACTCTAATGTATGACTGAGAGACTGTGAACACCAGCTGACTCCGTGGACAGAAAGTCACCTTTAGGACATTGCTTGGATGACCAGGAAACGATACAAGCTCTTTTCCTGTTCCTAGGTCCCAAGTTTTGGCAGTGCGATCTGTTTCAGAAAAAATACAAATCTTAGATCTGAGAAACATTCTGCTTAGATGACAGCAAGCTAAGGCTGTGAGGAAGCCAACATGTATCTACATGACAAGAAAGCAAGAGGGGAACCTTTGCTTCCAGTAAACAGCAGGTGGTCGGTGGCAAAGACAGAGAGGACAGCTTTTGTGTGGCCCTCGGCTCTGTGGGTACAGCTTAACATGGCCCGGCCCATGACTCGATTGGATGGAATTATGTTTCCCCTGTAACAAGATTTCATTTATAATGACCAGCTAGTAACAAGGTCATGATGACCAGCTAGTAACAAGATCATGATGACCAGCTAGTAACAAGATCATGATGACCAGCTAGTAACAAGATCGTGATGACCAGCTAGTAACAAGATCATGATGACCAGCTAGTAACAAGATCGTGATGACCAGCTTGTTACAAGGTCATGATGACCAGCTTGTTACAAGGTTATAATGACCAGCTTGTTACAAGGTCATGATGACCAGCTAGTAATAGATCATGAAGCAAACAAATAATACAAAACCAACATAACTAACTAGGATATAGAATTAACAGAATTAGTGAGCCGGCTGTTTATTTTACCTGTCCAGATTAGGCGATGGATTGGCTGTGTTACTGCTCAGCCTTGAGAAAACATTTTCATCAGAGCTCCTGGACAGGGACCTTCTAATCATGGTGGGGGAAGCTGGTGGGGTAGTGTCTGATGATGTGTCACCCCTGTTTAATAGGACAAATGCAACTTTTCTTTAAAAAGAGATAAGACTTATTAGACTTTAAGCTCACACTGTGAAAGAAAAGCTACTCAACTTTTCTTTCAATGTGTAAATAATATAGAACCCTGACCTTGGCTGACCAGAGGCCTGTAGAACCCTGACCTTGGCTGACCAGAGGCCTGTAGAACCCTTACTGACCCAAGGCCTGTAGAACCCTGACTGACCCAAGGCCTGTAGAACCCTGACCCTGGCTGACCAGAGGCCTGTAGAACCCTGACCCTGGCTGACCAGAGGCCTGTAGAACCCTTACTGACCCAAGGCCTGTAGAACCCTGACTGACCCAAGGCCTGTAGAACCCTGACCCTGGCTGACCAGAGGCCTGTAGAACCCTGACCCTGACTGACCAAAGGCCTGTAGAACCCTGACCTTGGCTGACCCAAGGCCTGTAGAACCCTGACCTTGGCTGACCAAATGCCTGTAGAACCCTGACCCTGACTGACCAAATGCCTGTAGAACCCTGGTTGACCAGAGGCCTGTACTCACATAGAACTGGAGCGGGATAGTACTTTACGAGACAACATGGGAGATGACTCAATTTCCTTTCTGCGGAGCACTGGAGATGGTCTAAGAAGAAAATTTTTATCCATGAGATCAATTACACAATTGTAAAATAATAACTTGCATTTGTTTCTCATCTAGCACAACTGTAATGAAGTAAATACATATTTTCCTAAACAGATGGGAGTGAATGAGTTGCTCCATGAATCTAAATGTGCCTTTCAAACCCCAACACATATCTGCTACAGAGTGGTGGACATTTACCTGGGAATGACAGACTTTGGTTTAGAAGGTACTCGTGGAGCTGGCATTAGGGTAGTGCCACCATCTCCTTCCTCATCATCAACACTGGCCTGCTCATTAAAGCCTGGACTGACATCTCCACCATCCCCTGTACTCACGCTGCTTGTGCTACCCTCACCCACACTTTTGGACATGTCACTGATAGACAGCACAGGTAGACCAGGTGAACCATGTTCATTTGGAGATTCCAGGAGAGGCAGCAGAGCAGGTGCAGGATCTCCAGCATAGAGCAGGTCATGTGCAGTGGCTGTCTTTTTCCTGGCCTACACCATACAACATAACAACATCAGCTTTATACTGGCCTACACCATAGAACATAACATCATCAGCTTTATACTGGCCTACACCATACAACATAACATCATCAGCTTTATACTGGCCTAAACCACACAACATAACATCATCAGCTTTATACTGGCCTAAACCACACAACATAACATCATCAGCTTTATACTGGCCTACACCATACAACATAACAACATCAGCTTTATACTGGCCTACACCATACAACATAACAACAGCTTTATACTGGCCTACACCATACAACATCAGCTTTATACTGGCCTACACCATACAACATAACATCATCAGCTTTATACTGGCCTACACCATACAACATCAGCTTTATACTGGCCTACACCATACAACATCAGCTTTATACTGGCCTACACCATACAACATCAGCTTTATACTGGCCTACACCATACAACATAACATCATCAGCTTTATACTGGCCTACACCATACAACATAACATCAGCTTTATACTGGCCTACACCATACAACATCAGCTTTATACTGGCCTACACCATACAACATCAGCTTTATACTGGCCTACACCATACAACATCAGCTTTATACTGGCCTACACCATACAACATAACATCAGCTATATACTGGCCTACACCATACAACATAACATCTTCAGCTTTATACTGGCCTACACCATACAACATAACATCAGCTTTATACTGGCCTACACCATACAACATAACATCAGCTTTATACTGGCCTATACCATACAACATCAGCTTTATACTGGCCTAAACCATACAACATAACATCATCAGCTTTATACTGGCCTACACCATACAACATCAGCTTTATACTGGCCTACACCATACATCATCAGCTTTATACTGGCCTACACCATACAACATAACATCAGCTTTATACTGGCCTATACCATACAACATCAGCTTTATACTGGCCTACACCATACAACATCAGCTTTATACTGGCCTACACCATACAACATAACATCATCAGCTTTATACTGGCCTACACCATACAACATAACATCAGCTTTATACTGGCCTACACCATACAACATCAGCTTTATACTGGCCTACACCATACAACATCAGCTTTATACTGGCCTACACCATACAACATCAGCTTTATACTGGCCTACACCATACAACATAACATCAGCTTTATACTGGCCTACACCATACAACATAACATCTTCAGCTTTATACTGGCCTACACCATACAACATAACATCAGCTTTATACTGGCCTACACCATACAACATAACATCAGCTTTATACTGGCCTATACCATACAACATCAGCTTTATACTGGCCTAAACCATACAACATAACATCATCAGCTTTATACTGGCCTACACCATACAACATCAGCTTTATACTGGCCTACACCATACATCATCAGCTTTATACTGGCCTACACCATACAACATAACATCAGCTTTATACTGGCCTATACCATACAACATCAGCTTTATACTGGCCTAAACCATACAACATAACATCATCAGCTTTATACTGGCCTACACCATACAACATCAGCTTTATACTGGCCTACACCATACATCATCAGCTTTATACTGGCCTACACCATACAACATCAGCTTTATACTGGCCTACACCATACAACATAACATCAGCTTTATACTGGCCTACACCATACAACATCAGCTTTATACTGGCCTACACCATACAACATAACATCATCAGCTTTATACTGGCCTACACCATACAACATAACATCAGCTTTATACTGGCCTACACCATACAACATAACATCTTCAGCTTTATACTGGCCTACACCATACAACATCAGCTTTATACTGGCCTACACCATACAACATCAGCTTTATACTGGCCTACACCATACAACATCAGCTTTATACTGGCCTACACCATACAACATCAGCTTTATACTGGCCTACACCATACAACATCAGCTTTATACTGGCCTACACCATACAACATCAGCTTTATACTGGCCTACACCATACAACATAACATCATCAGCTTTATACTGGCCTACACCATACAACATAACATCAGCTTTATACTGGCCTACACCATACAACATAACATCAGCTTTATACAGGCCTACACAATATAGTTATAGATGATGTTATGTTGTATGGTGTAGGGGTGATTTATTTAACTTGTCTAAGTAGTTGAGTTATTGTCTGACGTAACCAATTGACCATGTAACTTAACTTAGATGAAGATTCCAGCAAGATGATAAAATAGCTAACTTATATGAAGATTTCAGTACAATGCAAAAAAAATGTTTTGCAATCTACCAGAAAAATGAAAAACTGGAATTTAATGAGGATATTCAAGTAACTGTCAAAGAATGATATATAAATGTGTGTTTGTGTGTGTATGTGCATCTCCCCCCTCTCTCTCTCTCTCTCAATCTATCAATAGATATGGATGAAGAGATAGATATATAACATAAAAATACACAATGACCCTAGTTCTTTTTGCAAAGTTTAGAATTTTCTGTAATAATAACCAGTTTCATGCACATTACTCTAATTCTAGTCAATACTCTGCACTATATACACAACAGCGCCAACATCTTGTACAAATAGTTAACACAACCCACCACAGAGAAATAAGAATACATTACAGCAAGGGTAATTCGTTCACATTAGAAAACTAGAGACAGACCCAGACAAGCACGCAGGTTTTCAGGGAGCAGTGAGGCCAAAAAAGGGGCTATAATATTATGTATGTTGGTATAATCATGAGTGTGTGTATATGTATATATACACATATAAATACATATATATATGTCTATATGTATATAATAAATATCTATATCTATAAACATACACACATACTACTGGACAGACCCTTCTAGTGTATGACAGATTGTGCAGAATCCCCAAAGCATTTGAACAATGGATGTATATGATTGTTGTGGGGGTATAGCTATGGCTTGAAATCAACACAAAAATCAAGTTGTCTGTTCATCATTAGTTATGGTTTAGTCCAGAAATTATTAATATAGTTTAAAATTAACCATTCAAGAAAAAACTCATTAACTTAAAATTGATTGTATTAATTACATTTAAGATAATTAGATTAATTGGCTACAGCCCTAACACATGCAATAAGAAGCAAAGACAATCATGCCTGGGTTATCATGTAGGTTTAGAGAAATGTCAAGATATAAGGATCAGAAATCTTGGGCCTCAGAAACTTTTGGTCATCTAAAAAAGGTTTGTAAACAATTTGTGTTAATGGACAGATGTTTATAAAGTCAGTCTACTGTTATTTTTTTAGCTAATGTATTGATAGAAAAATTGTGTAACAGACAGATGATTATAGTGAGTCTATTGTTATATGTTGGCTAGTGTATTGATAGAAAAATTGTGTTAACAGACAGATGATTATAGTGAGTCTATTGTTATATGTTGGCTAGTGTATTGATATAAAAATTGTGTTAACAGACAGATGATTATAGTGAGTCTATTGTTATATGTTGGCTAGTGTATTGATATAAAAATTGTGTTAACAGACATGATTATAGTGAGTCTACTATTACTTCATGCTACAAAAGAGATGGGTCTGAAATCCTACCGGCTGGGTTAGACGCAGGAACAACTGTAAAGTGAGAAAAGAATGTGGTTACAGCGTGTGGCAGCAACAAGAGGCAGACAGTGAGTGAATGATCTAAGAGGGCCACCAGAGTAAAGTTGCCTACCTTCTCTCTGCGGGCTACAGCTTCAGTTGTTGGAATTATTCTAGCTGCTGCAAAAGGGGCACCAGCAGACTCCAACATGCTGTTAATACAAAAGTTAGTTCATACAAACAGTGCACACATCCATTCAAACAGGGACCTACACTCAGTAAGGCACACACAAATAAAGGGTGCAGGGGTCCAGGACAAAAAGATGCAGATAATGATGCAGATAATGATGCAGATAATGATGCAGATAATGATGCAGATAATGATGCAGATACACAGAGTTAAAAACATGAGCCATTGAACAGATTTTAATTTGAGAGATGCAAAAATAACTTTAAAAAAAAATAAACAACTAAAATAAATATAAAACATCCTTAACACTGACATTCAGCTAAGACAGTAGACTTTCCTTAAATAACACAGTGAATGATTTGAGACAAGGAACAAGATATGACACAACTTTAGTCCTGACCAAAATCCTACCCTGATACATGTATCACTTATCTAGGATGACTCATTTATCTAGGCTAAATTACATGGTAAATATGGCATTTACAGCAACTAACAAATACCATCAAGCATTGACTCAGCCAACATCAATAACACAACACAAACACCACACAAATGACAAGACTGCCCAACACAGACACCACACAAATGACAAGACTGCCCAACACAGACACCACACAAATGACAAGACTGCCCAACACAAACACCACACAAATGACAAGACTGCCCAACACAGACAACACACAAATGACAAGACTGCCCCACACAAACACCACACAAATGACAAGACTGCCCAACACAAACACCACACAAATGACAAGACTGCCCAACACAAACACCACACAAATGACAAGACTGCCCAACACAAACACCACACAAATGACAAGACTGCCCAACACAAACACCACACAAATGACAAGACTGCCCAACACAAACACCACACAAATGACAAGACTGCCCAACACAAACACCACACAAATGACAAGACATCTGTCCTACCCTATTGACTGAGTTTGTTGTAAAAATGAAAGAGAATCAAGCACCAACTAAAGGCAAGAGCAAATGAACAAAATTCTCTAGTCAGAGAGCTAAAACAAAAAAAAATAAAAGACATCCAGATATGACCATCACATAGAAATATATCACCATTAGTCCCGGCCAAAGAGTTCAGCACAAAAATGAGAAAAAATGAGAGAAAATATGTTACTTAATATTTGATACTAGACAAACATTTGATAAGGAAGTAGCAGTAGGAAGACTGTACATGAAATTGTTGATTAAAACCAGACTAAAAACACTTGCAACAATTCAATTATTAGTTGTTATTTTTATCCCACATGGTGGACACAGTGTTTACAATTCATGCAAACAATTTTGGCATGACAGATGATGAAATGCATAAATTTACAACACGGTTAGTGGAACACTGCTTAAATAAACAATTTTGGCATGGTGGATGATGAAATGCATAAATTTACAACACGGTTAGTGCAACACTGCTTAAATAAACAATTTTGGCATGGTGGATGATGAAATGCATAAAGAAACAATGTAGACAAAAAAAATTTCTTACAATGGTTAAACTGAACCCAATAAGTCTTACAATAGCCAGTCTAAACCCAATCTAAACCCAATAAGTCTTATACTAGTCAGTCTAAACCCAATAAGTCTTACAATAGTCAATACCTTTCTGCTGGGGATGATGATGAGGAACTTGATGTAGATTCCAAATCTGAAAGTTAAGAAATTTCTTTTACACAACCTAACAACAGGCCAACCATTATTAAAAAAAAATCTATAAATCCAGTAAACAAACAATAATAAAAAGCTTTCAAATTCACTGAAAATAAGAAAAGTCTCTTTCATCCAAATCTTTGATAGCTCGTAATATCTCTTTTAGCGAACAAAGCTTTTTATAAAGAAAGCAAGTATGTTTATTTTCTTATTTCAGTGCTTTAAAAAGCTATTTATTATAATGGTTTTTTATTTGTTTTATTTTCCACTTTTTAGTCTTTAGTTTAAATAGAAGCGCGCAACAAGGCTACGACTAAAAGTATTTGGGTTATACCCAATCATTAGCTTGCGATCTCTAAAAGACAGTTATCTGCCCCAACTTAGTTGAAGGGCATCCTTAAACTAGTCATCTGAAAGAAATATTTTTTTAATAAAACAAATCTGAAAAAAACTCACCATCTGGGTCATTGTGTGTCATCAAACTGTCCACCTCAATGTTGACATGATCATCCATCATGTGACGAAGCAAATCCTGCTGGAGGGCATTGTTCAGCTCCGTCTGATGTAGTCGACTTTGTAGCTCACGCACCTCAGTCTCTCGTTGTGCAATAGATAATCCCTGGGGAGACAATAGGCTTTATGTAACAATAAACACACCATGTACCTACACAGTTCAAGCTGAACTTGGGGCTATTCAACTAGACATTTTTCAATAAACACACCATGTACCTACACAATTCAAGCTGAACTTGGGGCTATTCAACTAGACATTTTTCTATAAACACACCATGTACCTACACAATTCAAGCTGAACTTGGGGCTATTCAACTAGACATTTTTCAATAAACACACCATGTACCTACACAATTCAAGCTGAACTTGGGGCTATTCAACTAGACATTTTTCAATAAACACACCATGTACCTACACAATTCAAGCTGAACTTGGGGCTATGTAACTTGACATTTTTCAATAAACACACCATGTACCTACACAATTCAAGCTGAACTTGGGGCTATGTAACTTGACATTTTTCTATAAACACACCATGTACCTACACAATTCAAGCTGAACTTGGAGCTATTCAACTAGACATTTTTCAATAAACACCATGTACCTACACAATTCAAGCTGAACTTGCGGCTATGTAACTTGACATTTTTCTATAAACACCATGTACCTACACAATTCAAGCTGAACTTGCGGCTATGTAACTTGACATTTTTCTATAAACACCATGTACCTACACAATTCAAGCTGAACTTGCGGCTATGTAACTTGACATTTTTCTATAAACACACCATGTACCTACACAATTCAAGCTGAACTTGGAGCTATGTAAATTGACATTTAAAAATGAATGTGAGGTAAAGTAACTAGATAATTTTAACTAAACTTGTCATACTGTGGTATGACTATATACAATTATTGTAAGAAGAAAAACATAGTGGCCATAACATCTAAACAAGACAACATCAGTCTAGATAAACAAACTGACTTTCTCCAAAGCTCTCTGGTAGAACTTCTCTAAAGTATATTTGGCCTCATCAAGTGTCATAGTCTCCAGCAGTGAGCCCACCTGGAGATCACCATCTTCCTGTTGAAGACACAAGAGTTGCTCAAATAGGGGTAAACACATACAGATGACATGTCTACAGTAGTCAGGTGATGACATGTCTACAGTAGTCAGGTGATGACAACATGTCTACAGTAGTGAGGTGATGACAACATGTCTACAGTAGTGAGGTGATGACAACATGTCTACAGTAGTGAGGTGATGACAACATGTCTACAGTAGTGAGGTCATGAGGCCAACCTTAGTTTCTTCCATCTGCATTATATTGGACTGACATTCATTGATGTTTTCTTGGGCATGCAGAACCTTGTATGAGATGTCATCTATCATTTTGTTCAGCTTTGTAATAACTTCCGCAGGCTGTAGTATAAAGTAACCTGTATTAACATTTGTAATAACTTCCCTAGGCTGTAGTATAAAGTAACCTGTATTAACATTTGTAATAACTTCCCTAGGCTGTAGTATAAAGTAACCTGTATTAACATTTGTAATAACTTCCCTAGGCTGTAGTATAAAGTAACCTGTATTAACATTTGTAATAACTTCCGCTGGCTGTAGTATAAAGTAACCTGTATTAACATTTGTAATAACTTCCCTAGGCTGTAGTATAAAGTAACCTGTATTAACATTTGTAATAACTTCCGCTGGCTGTAGTATAAAATAACCTGTATTAACATTTGTAATAACTTCCGCTGGCTGTAGTATAAAGTAACCTGTATTAACATTTGTAATAACTTCCGCTGGCTGTAGTATAAAGTAACCTGTATTAACATTTGTAATAACTTCCGCTGGCTGTAGTATAAAGTAACCTGTATTAACATTTGTAATAACTTCCCCAGGCTGTAGTATAAAGTAACCTGGAATAACATTTGTAATAACTTCCCCAGGCTGTAGTATAAAGTAACCTGTATTAACATTTGTAATAACTTCCGCTGGCTGTAGTATAAAGTAACCTGTATTAACATTTGTAATAACTTCCGCTGGCTGTAGTATAAAGTAACCTGTATTAACATTTGTAATAACTTCCGCTGGCTGTAGTATAAAGTAACCTGTATTAACATTTGTAATAACTTCCCCAGGCTGTAGTATAAAGTAACCTGGAATAACATTTGGTATTGTCTGGTGTCCCACATGTAAGCTACACTAGTCACCTCTCATACATACACATGCATTCATTCATGTATGAGGTATGAAATTTACCAAATAGCACAGGTTGGTTAGTAGAAAAGAATATCAGTAGACAAACACAAAAATACATATGACATGTTTAAGCTACATCAAACAATAGCATTACTATGTTTTAATCAAGGTACAGCCTGTCTAATGTCTGACTAAAGCTGTCCAACAGTACAGCCTGTCTAATGTCTGACTAAAGCTGTCCAACAGTAGGTACAGCCTGTCTAATGTCTGACTACAGAAAAAATTACCTGATTAGTTTCAATAGCATGTATTTTCCTTCTTTCATATTTCTCTATTTCTTTAGTACATTTCTCTCGTTGCTAAAAACACAATAGAAACTAGTCAGATAAGACAAGCAACAGTTGAGTATTGATGAAGAAAAGGCATATTGCAAATATCAAGGGGTGCCTCCAGATGTGACACTACAACACATGTTTGTTACTGAACTCATAGGGTCGGAGTGGTCGAGTCGGTAAAGCTCATGGTTCCTAAACCGAAAAGTCTTGAGTTCGAACCCTCGGGCAGATGAGGCTCGTTAGCTGGGGACAGCCACTCTTCTAGGAGAGACAACTCCAAAATTAAACAACTTCTGCCTTGAAGTTTGTTCTTGGTTGGACAAAGGCTATGGAAGCAAATCCAAAAAGAAAAGCAGGCTGAAATCGGAGTCAATGGCCTCAATGGCGCATAACCAGTTGACACGTAACGCTTAATTGTGTTGGAGGCGTGGTCGAGTCGGCAAAAAGCTCATGGTTGATAAATTCGAACAAATTCTCGAGTTCAAACCCACTGGCAGATAAATCTCGATCCCCTTCAACACTAATAATTAAGAACGAAGAAGAAGAAGAAGAAGACTGAACTCATTTAGGGAATCTATTACAGTCAATGTACAGTCAATGTTCAGTTACCTTAAGCCATACATCCATGTCTCTCTCTAGCATGCTGATGGTCTGGCGTTTTGTTATCACTGAAGCAATCTGGGCAGCACAGAGTGGGAATAGAGAATGATGAGTAAAATGTAGAGATTCCAACAGTTACAGTGAGAATAAAGAATGATGAGTAAAATGTAGAGATTACAACAGTTACAGTGGGAATAAAGAATGATGAGTAAAATGTAGAGATTACAACAGTTACAGTGGGAATAAAGAATGATGAGTAAAATGTAGAGATTCCAACAGTTACAGTGGGAATAAAGAATGATGAGTAAAATGTAGAGATTACAACAGTTACAGTGGGAATAAAGAATAATGAGTAAAATGTAGAGATTCTAACAGTTACAGTGAGAATAAAGAATGATGAATAAAATGTAGAGATTCCAACAGTTACAGTGGGAATAAAGAATGATGAGTAAAATGTAGAGATTACAACAGTTACAGTGGGAATAGAGAATGATGAGAAAATGTGAAGTTTCTAACACAGTTCAAACAAATTGTGAATGCCAATAGTTATTAAACAATTACATTTTTATCAATGGAGTCCCATTTCTGTTTGGCTACTTTAGGGGAGAACTCAACTCGTTTTCTTCTGTGTCCAGTGGCTATTGGTGCTGAGGGTACACGTTGTTATAAAATGGTCAATGATACAATCAATGGTCAATAATACAATCAAAGGTTAATAACACAATCAATGGTAAATTATATAATGAATAGTAAATAATACAACCAATAGTCATTACATTGGACATTGATTTAAAAAATTATTATTTTGATATATATAGAGAGAGAGAGAGAGACTAACACCAGTACTTGTTTGCTGAGGTTTCAAGTACTGTAGTTGAACATGCAATTGTACTGACCAATGGGGATGGTGGTGGGCCTGTCATATTTCCCCACTCTTCCAGCAGCTTTATAAGACAATGGCTTTTGTTTTTTTCTGAGTGCTTCCACCTGCCAACAAAAACAACAACTAAGATAGACCAGAAAGAAAAAAAATGAGCACAGACCCCATCTAAGCAAATACAAATGACTGAGACCAGGTTACAGTCACAAGTAAAGAAGCTCACCTCCTCCTGTTTTCGTTTCAACACAGCATCTTTCTGGAGGGTTTGTCTCTCCAAGTTCTTTATGATGTTATCTCTCCTTAACTGCTCTTTACGTAGCTGACTCACTTCCTTGCTGCGCTTGGCTTCATTCAGTTTATTTTTGTCAACCTCCTCTTTCATTTGCTTCATCAGCCTCACCTAAGGAAAGAATACAGACCACTTATCTTGTAGGTACAAGTAAAAACATTGATAACTATCAACAAGTCCTCGTGGCAAAGCTGCTGTTCTGTGTGTGAATTGTTCTTCTGTATCTTGGCATATAAAGATGGCTTACCTTTGTTTTCTTCATCTCCACCAGTTCATGTTGTAAAGTTTTCAGCTGCTGTTCTGTGTGTGAATTGTTCTTCTGTATCTTGGCATATAAAGATGGCTTACCTTTGTTTTCTTCATCTCCACCAGTTCATGTTGTAAAGTTTTCAGCTGCTGTTCTGTGTGTGAATTGTTCTTCTGTATCTTGGCATATAAAGATGGCTTACCTTTGTTTTCTTCATCTCCACCAGTTCATGTTGTAAAGTTTTCAGCTGCTGTTCTGTGTGTGAATTGTTCTTCTGTATCTTGGCGTGCTTCCTCTGCTCAGCCTGCATCTTCTTGAGCTCCTCCTGCAGCTGTGCCAGCTTCCTCTCATATTCTTGTTTCACCTTCTTGATTGCATCGCTGGAGGGCTGCTGCACTTTGTCTACAACAACAGCAAACCATACTCAAACTATAGGCAGCCTTCATTTTCACACATTTTTAAATAATTACTTCAATACTGTAGGAATTGAATGGTGTAAACATGTGGGACTGACTGACTGACTGGTGTAAACATGTGGGACTGACTGACTGACTGGTGTAAACATGTGGGACTGACTGACTGACTGGTGTAAACATGTGGGACTGACTGACTGACTGGTGTAAACATGTGGGACTGGTGTAAGTAAAACCTATACTCAATAGGACCAACCTATATTGGCCAAGACTTTATCTCTCTCCATCTCTGTTTCTTTTATCTTTAGCGCCAGTTGCTGAACTTGTCCCTCATAGTGTGCCTTTAAGGAATTCATCTTTTTTTGTGTCTGTTCCAGCTCTTCTATCAGCTTTTGTTTGATGGTGATCTCACACGTTAGGTTGGCTAGATCTTCATGGACATTCTCAGAGTCTGTGTTTATACAACAAACATTTATTTTCTCTCATAGGACTTTCCTTGTCAATTATACAACAAACATTTCAAGGGATCACAAGCTTGTGAATTAAATTCATGGAACATCAATAAAGCAAAAAAATAGGGTTGAGGCTGTAGCTATGACGTTCTTTTTAATTGAATTTTTTTAAAATTTCCATCATTTAAACGTAATTTACAGTTTACTATGTAATGTTTAGTAATTAATACATTTATAAATAGTAAGAATCATTTTTTAAAACTACTATTGTATATTACTAAAAAAATATGTGAACATTTTATGTAGTTAGTCCCTTTCAAATAATCCTTACAAAATGGTCCATGACCATATGAAGTTTTATGTGCTGTTGTAGGCAACAGTTCATAAAAGGTATAGGTTTATATAGGGAGGTGAACACTCACTGTCAGAGGTACTCTATTGATTTCCTAAGGGGTTAATCTATCTTTAATGTTTTGTTTTTTTTTTTGAAAAATTTAAAGAGCATTTGTTTAGATTTGAATTATCCTAAATAATGGCTACAAAATTTGCAAAAGTTTTTTTTTGTAAATGGGATATAATTATACAGTAAAAGCAGCTTTTTTCTTTCACAACCCCACATTGTTTCATGGACTGCTGTTTCTACCCCCCATTGTTTCATGGGCTGTTGTTTCTGAGTTCAATATATGGAAATCATTTTTCCTTAGGTTAATTATAGCAAGGCAATCCACTCAAATCCAGGCACATTCTTTATATGTTAGATGGGCTGATAAGTCAAGTTTAACTTTTAAAACATTTATCAAGGGTGTGGGATTGGGAATATTAGTGACAGCAGACAGTAAATGGTCATGGCTGAGTGAACACCACAGCATCAGACAAGTAAATGGTCATGGCTGAGTGAACACCACAGCATCAGACAAGTAAATGGTCATGGCTGAGTGAACACCACAGCATCAGACAAGTAAATGGTCATGGCTGAGTGAACACCACAGCATCAGACAAGTAAATGTCATGGCTGAGTGAACACCACAGCATCAGACAAGTAAATGGTCATGGCTGAGTGAACACCACAGCATCAGACAAGTAAATGGTCATGGCTGAGTGAACACCACAGCATCAGACAAGTAAATGGTCATGGCTGAGTGAACACCACAGCATTAGACAAGTAAATGGTCATGGCTGAGTGAACACCACAGCATCAGACAAGTAAATGGTCATGGCTGAGTGAACACCACAGCATCAGACAAGTAAATGGTCATGGCTGAGTGAACACCACAGCATCAGACAAGTAAATGGTCATGGCTGAGTGAACACCACAGCATCAGACAAGTAAATGGTCATGGCTGAGTGAACACCACAGCATCAGACAAGTAAATGGTCATGGCTGAGTGAACACCACAGCATCAGACAAGTAAATGGTCATGGCTGAGTGAACACCACAGCATCAGACAAGTAAATGGTCATGGCTGAGTGAACACCACAGCATCAGACAAGTAAATGGTCATGGCTGAGTGAACACCACAGCATCAGACAAGTAAATGGTCATGGCTGAGTGAACACCACAGCATCAGACAAGTAAATGGTCATGGCTGAGTGAACACCACAGCATCAGACAAGTAAATGGTCATGGCTGAGTGAACACAACAGCATCAGACAAGTAAATGGTCATGGCTGAGTGAACACCACAGCATCAGACAAGTAAATGGTCATGGCTGAGAGGAATAAAATGGGCAAGCTATAATCTATACCTGTGTAAAGGTAATATTCCAAATCCTCAGCTGCGTTTGAGACACAAAATAATTTTAGTCAAGTTAAAACAAAATGACATCAAGAAAAAATGGTGATGATCAGATAGCATTGTTAAATTACTAGTCATCTAAAAATAATCATTACAGGAAATGGTTTTCAGGCATGACTGAAGTTGCCAGACAGGGTGAGAACATACCTGCATCATCTGAATCAAAATCTGATGAACTTTCTGTTGTGTCTGACTCATCTTCACCATTTGCCTGTACAAATAACATCAAGTTTGGTTAGGCAGAGATACTGGACAGTGGCTAACATCAATAAACATTTTGCAACTGCTCTTTATGTTTTGTTTGTATAGATCCTCTCAGATTACTACAAACATTTGTAGTGAGCAAAATGCCATTGAGTTAAGTATCACTTCTTCATAGCATTCCAGAATGACATAGAGACAGGAAGTAACAAAATAGCAAACATTGTCTAACTAGAGCTGCTAGACCATCTCACCCTTCTGACCTCATCATCAGACTTGTCTTGGCCCAGCTCATCTCTCACATCCAGCCTTGTTACATTCACATTTTCCTTGTCACTTCTGAAGTGGTCATAAACACAAATGTTACTTACTCACATCTTATAAAGTATACAAACACAAATGTTACTTACTCACATCTTACAAAGTATACAAACACAAATGTTACTTACTCACATCTTATAAAGTATACAAACACAAATGTTACTTACTCACATCTTATAAAGTATACAAACACAAATGTTACTTACTCACATCTTATAAAGTATACAAACTCAAATGTTACTTACTCACATCTTATAAAGTATACAAACACAAATGTTACTTACTCACATCTTACAAAGTATACAAACACAAATGTTACTTACTCACATCTTATAAAGTATACAAACACAAATGTTACTTACTCACATCTTATAAAGTATACAAACACAAATGTTACTTACTCACATCTTACAAAGTATACAAACACAAATGTTACTTACTCACATCTTATAAAGTATACAAACACAAATGTTACTTACTCACATCTTATAAAGTATACAAACTCAAATGTTACTTACTCACATCTTATAAAGTATACAAACACAAATGTTACTTACTCACATCTTATAAAGTATACAAACACAAATGTTACATACTCACATCTTATAAAGTATACAAACACAAATCTAAAACTGGACAGAGTTGGTTCTAAGATGTTAAAGTGGCCAGATTTGGCCTTATGATGTAAAAGTGGCCAGATTTGGGCCTAAGATGTAAAAGTGGCCAGATTTGGCCCTAGGATGTAAAAGTGGTCAGATTTGGTCCTAAGATGTAAAAGTGGCCAGATTTGGCCCTAGGATGTAAAAGTGGCCAGATTTGGTCCTAAGATGTAAAAGTGGCCAGATTTGGCCTTATGATGTAAAAGTGGCCAGATTTGGTCGTAAGATGTAAAAGTGGCCAGATTTGGCCTTATGATGTAAAAGTGGCCAGATTTGGCCCTAGGATGTAAAAGTGGCCAGATTTGGTCCTAGGATGTAAAAGTGGCCAGATTTGGTCCTGGGATGTAAAAGTGGCCAGATTTGGCCCTAGGATGTAAAAGTGGCCAGATTTGGCCCTAGGATGTAAAAGTGGCCAGATTTGGTCATAAGATGTAAAAGTGGCCAGATTTGGTCCTAGGATGTAAAAGTGGCCAGATTTGGCCCTAGGATGTAAAAGTGGCCAGATTTGGCCCTAGGATGTAAAAGTGGCCAGATTTGGCCCTAAGATGTAAAAGTGGCCAGATTTGGCCCTAGGATGTAAAAGTGGCCAGATTTGGTCCTAAGATGTAAAAGTGGCCAGATTTGGTCCTGGGATGTAAAAGTGGCCAGATTTGGCCCTAGGATGTAAAAGTGGCCAGATTTGGCCCTAGGATGTAAAAGTGGCCAGATTTGGCCCTAGGATGTAAAAGTGGCCAGATTTGGTCCTAAGATGTAAAAGTGGCCAGATTTGGCCCTAGGATGTAAAAGTGGCCAGATTTGGTCCTAGGATGTAAAAGTGGCCAGATTTGGTCCTGGGATGTAAAAGTGGCCAGATTTGGCCCTAGGATGTAAAAGTGGCCAGATTTGGCCCTAGGATGTAAAAGTGGCCAGATTTGGTCATAAGATGTAAAAGTGGCCAGATTTGGTCCTAGGATGTAAAAGTGGCCAGATTTGGCCCTAGGATGTAAAAGTGGCCAGATTTGGCCCTAGGATGTAAAAGTGGCCAGATTTGGGCCTAAGATGTAAAAGTGGCCAGATTTGGCCCTAGGATGTAAAAGTGGTCAGATTTGGTCCTAAGATGTAAAAGTGGCCAGATTTGGCCCTAGGATGTAAAAGTGGCCAGATTTGGTCCTAAGATGTAAAAGTGGCCAGATTTGGCCTTATGATGTAAAAGTGGCCAGATTTGGTCCTAAGATGTAAAAGTGGCCAGATTTGGCCTTATGATGTAAAAGTGGCCAGATTTGGCCCTAGGATGTAAAAGTGGCCAGATTTGGTCCCAGGATGTAAAAGTGGCCAGATTTGGTCCTAGGATGTAAAAGTGGCCAGATTTGGTCCCAGGATGTAAAAGTGGCCAGATTTGGCCCTAGGATGTAAAAGTGGCCAGAATTGGTCCTAAGATGTAAAAGTGGCCAGATTCAGCCAGTGAGATATGAAATTGGACTTACTCTTGGTTTAAAGATTGGGATCTTTTCTTTAGTCTTCTCATCTCCTGTTTGGCAAGGTGAAGGACCGACTTCTCTGAGGTGTCAGGTGACATGGGGGCCTCCATCCCACCAGCATAGGAGGAAGTCATGGAGGAGGACATGGACAATCTTGAGCTGGACATGAACGAGCCAGACATGAGTGACCCAGACATCATCGAGCCAGTCAGGTGGGACCCAGGGGAATGTGGTACACGGTTTCTGCTAAGTTGGTCACACAAAAACTCTGATTCTGCTAGCTTGGCTCTGAGAACAATTATTGATTTTCAATATTTAAGTAGGAATATTGTTTTCAATTACTGTTTTAATAAAATAATTTTAATCTGTAGCTTCCTGTTTGAAGCTGGTGAAGGTAAGCCTTGACATCCAAGATTTAATATCTGAACCAAATGTTTAGCAAAACTCACTTGAGCTCTTGAATTTCTTGTAGATATTTTTTTATCAGATTTGAAATATCCTCGTTGGATACTTGCCCTGGAAAAATATTGTGTGAAATAGTTGGCAAAATGTAGCATAATATAACCCTTTACCTTCCTCCTTCAGGATTTTCACTAATGTCTTCCACATGCTCTCATTCACTGTTACTGGTTGGTTTTTTTTACAAAGATTAACTAAGAGTTTTTGCAACTCTAGTCAGAAAAGAGTTATTTCCCTTGCAAAAGTTGCATGCAATTTACATAAATAATGAGTAGTTTAGCCTACCATTGGTTCCATATAAAGAAAAGACAGCAGCATCAGCCAGTAACTGTGTGTTTTTAGCATTCAATCCAACTATTGTATCCTGCATTGCTTTGATTCGTTGTCTAAGTTTGTCATTTTCTGCCTGCAACATGCTGTTTTCTGTGACCAGGTCATTGACAGACTCCACACCATCTGCATCTATAGTCCTCTTGCCCTGAGATCATACAACAGTAAATAATGGACAGTCTACTGTGGTAGGACATGGACAGTCTACTGTGGTAGGACATGGACAGTCTACTGTGGTAGGACATAGTCTACTGTGGTAGGACATAGACAGTCTACTGTGGTAGGACATGGACAGTCTACTGTGGTAGGACATGGACAGTCTACTGTGGTAGGACATAGACAGTCTACTGTGGTAGGACATGGACAGTCTACTGTGGTAGGACATGGACAGTCTACTGTGGTAGGACATGGACAGTCTACTGTGGTAGGACATGGACAGTCTACTGTGGTAGGACATGGACAGTCTACTGTGGTAGGACATGGACAGCCTACTGTGGTAGGACATGGACAGTCTACTGTGGTAGGACATGGGCAGTCTGTGGTAGGACATGGACAGTCTACTGTGGTAGGACATGGACAGTCTACTGTGGTAGGACATGGACAGTCTACTGTGGTAGGACATGGACAGTCTACTGTGGTAGGACATGGACAGCCTACTGTGGTAGGACATGGACAGTCTACTGTGGTAGGACATGGACAGTCTACTGTGTAGGTTTCATGGAATACAAATATCTATACATATTGCTATTCCCATCCGTTTCCATCTTGATCTTGTAAACTTATATCTATCTTTAGTTGACCTAGGGGTAACGTCCTACTGTGTGTGTGTGTGGGGGGGGGGGGGGGAGGGGGTGTAGTGACTCATGGGTAATTGATGAGGGGGGGGTGCAATGTCCTAGACCCCCATGCGAACAAACAAAGAAACTTACAGTTTTATACTCCATCAGCTCCTTCTGTAATGCCATTATCTCAGACCTCAAGAGAGCCAGTTGTTTACTAGCTTTGTCTTGATTAGCTATCACTTTATTTTTTATGTTGCGAGCACGGTTAGCATATTTGAGTGTATTCAGGGTCTCCATGAAGTCACGGTCAGAAGGAGAGATGCAGGCTATCATCAATGTGCGACTGTTAGATACATTGGTTGGCAAAGAGTTATGTCTATGTTATACTAATCAACTGGCCATGAAAATAGTGTAACCTTAGAGCATAGCCGACCTGTTTCCACCCAGAGAATCTTGCAAGAGCCTGGTCAGCTTAGAATCTCTGTATGGGACATGACTCCCCTTCTTGGTCTTGTCACCCAAGGCTGAAATCACATTGCCCAGAGCCAGCTGAAAGAAAGGTTGCACAATGAAATCACATTGCCCAGAGCCAGCTGAAAGAAAGGTTGCACAATGAAATCACATTGCCCAGAGCCAGCTGAAAGAAAGGTTGCACAATGAAATCACATTGCCCAGAGCCAGCTGAAAGAAAGGTTGCACAATGAAATCACATTGCCCAGAGCCAGCTGAAAGAAAGGTTGCACAATGAAATCACATTGCCCAGAGCCAGCTGAAAGAAAGGTTGCACAATGAAGTCTAAAATGAGGCTTTTGAGAACATTATGTCTTTGGGTACTGTCAGTCATGAAGTATTTGGGAAGAGCTTGAACATTGTATGAGGTTGCTGTGAAAAGATTGGTGCTAAACAGTGATCACTTACCAGGCCACAGTTGATAGAAATCCCCTCCTTTGCTCTGTCACCTGTGGCCCCTGTCCTCTTAAGTCTCTCAGACCCTGCCAGGTCCACAAAATGGAATTTGGCCGTCAACGTCTCAAACTCTGCCTGCGTTGAGTCCATTTCTTTGCCTTCTTCTACTGTGGCCTACAAGAAATAATGTCATAAACACAACCTGCAACTCCGGTCTAAATGGCCTTAGTGGCCGACTAACTGACAATGGTCATAAAACTACCCTGCAACTACAGCTGAAACAGCCGTATGTGGGCTACCAACATCACAACAGCCTGCATGCAGGTCCTCACCTCATCCCTGACCAGCCTGTGTTGCCTTATGTGCAAGGTAAAAATAGCATGGGACCTTGATGATGAGACATTCATGTTAGTGGACGCTGTAGCACGGGACAGAGCACCAGATTTAAGACACTGTAGAGTCTGGGAACACATCGATAAATTAGGTCAAGTCACATGCACTAAGGCAACTTACACTAGGTCAAGTCACATGCACTAGGTCAACTTACACTAGGTCAAGTCACATGCACTAGGTCAACTTACACTAGGTCAAGTCACATGCACTAGGTCAACTTACACAAGGTCAACTTACACTAGGTCAAGTCACATGCACTAGGTCAACTTACACTAGGTCAAGTCACATGCACTAGGTCAACTTACACTAGGTCAAGTCACACGCACTAGGTCAACTTACACTAGGTCAAGTCACATGCACTAGGTCAACTTACACTAGGTCAAGTCACATGCACTAGGTCAACTTACACTAGGTCAAGTCACACGCACTAGGTCAACTTACACTAGGTCAAGTCACATGCACTAGGTCAACTTACACTAGGTCAAGTCACACGCACTAGGTCAACTTACACTAGGTCAAGTCACATGCACTAGGTCAACTTACACTAGGTCAAGTCACATGCACTAGGTCAACATTATACTAGGTCAAGTTATATATACCAAAACAGGTTGGTTAAGATTGTGCCGAATCATTTACTTTCTTAAACTCAATACAGGTACACATATGACAGTGCTGGCTGGACTAACTGGGTTAAGCCCAAATTCTGCTGTCTGGGTAAGCCAACTTGCACTTTAACCTGTGGGTTTTGTTCATTCTCAACTTGAACTTACTTCCTCGAGAGAAGAAACTGGTCTTGTGTTGACACCCACCACATAGATTCCCCCACCAGCATCCTCGTGGATTCTGTTGTGAGACTTCTTACCCTGTTGGATGGTTTTTTTAACGTCAAGCACAACAGTTTCAATTCCTTCAACAATCTAGAAAACTAAAAGTAGAGACAACCTACCCATGTAGAGACAACCTACCCATGTAGAGACAACCTACCCATGTAGAGACAACCTACCCATGTAGAGACAACCTACCCATGTAGAGACAACCTACCCATGTAGAGACAACCTACCCATGTAGAGACAACCTACCCATGTAGAGACAACCTACCCATGTAGAGACAACCTACCCATGTAGAGACAACCTACCCATGTAGAGACAACATCCAACCTACCCATGTAGACACAACCTACCCATGTAAAGACAACCTACCCATGTACAGACAACCTACCCATGTAGAGACAACCTACCCATGTAGAGACAACATCCAACCTACCCATGTAGACACAACCTACCCATGTAGAGACAACCTACCCATGTAGAGACAACCTACCCATGTAGAGACAACCTCCAACCTACCCATGTAGAGACAACCTGCCCATGTAGAGACAACCTACCCATGTAGAGACAACCTGCCCATGTAGACACAACCTACCCATGTAGAGACAACCTGCCCATGTAGAGACAACCTACCCATGTAGAGACAACCTGCCCATGTAGAGACAACCTAACCATGTAGAGACAACCTACACTACCCATGTAGAGACAACCTACCCATGTAGAGACAACCTACCCATGTAGAGACAACCTACCCATGTAGAGACAACCTACCCATGTAGAGACAACCTACCCATGTAGAGACAACCTCCAACCTACCCATGTAGAGACAACCTCCAACCTACCCATGTAGAGACAACCTCCAACCTACCCATGTAGAGACAACCTACCCATGTAGAGACAACCTACCCATGTAGAGACAACCTACCCATGTAGAGACAACCTACCCATGTAGAGACAACCTCCAACCTACCCATGTAGAGACAACCTACCCATGTAGAGACAACCTACCCATGTAGAGACAACCTACCCATGTAGAGACAACCTCCAACCTACCCATGTAGAGACAACCTCCAACCTACCCATGTAGAGACAACCTCCAACCTACCCATGTAGAGACAACCTACCCATGTAGAGACAACCTACCCATGTAGACACAACCTACCCATGTAGACATAACCTACCCATGTAGTGACAACCTCCAACCTACCCATGTAGACACAACCTACCCATGTAGACACAACCTACCCATGTAGTGACAACCTCCAACCTACCCATGTAGACACAACCTACCCATGTAGACACAACCTACCCATGTAGAGACAACCTACCTATGTAGAGACAACCTCCAACCTACCCATGTAGAGACAACCTACCCATGTAGACACAACCTACCCATGTAGAGACAACCTACACTACCCATGTAGACACAACCTACCCATGTAGAGACAACCTACCCATGTAGAGACAACCTACACGTGTAGACACAACCTACCCATGTAGACACAACCTACCCATGTAGTGACAACCTCCAACCTACCCATGTAGACACAACCTACCCATGTAGACACAACCTACCCATGTAGTGACAACCTCCAACCTACCCATGTAGAGACAACCTACCCATGTAGACACAACCTACCCATGTAGAGACAACCTACACTACCCATGTAGACACAACCTACCCATGTAGAGACAACCTACACTACCCATGTAGACACAACCTACCCATGTAGAGACAACCTACCCATGTAGAGACAACCTGCCCATGTAGAGACAACCTACCCATGTAGAGACAACCTACACTACCCATGTAGACACAACCTACCCATGTAGAGACAACCTACCCATGTAGACACAACCTACCCATGTAGAGACAACCTACACTACCCATGTAGACACAACCTACCCATGTAGAGACAACCTACCCATGTAGAGACAACCTACCCATGTAGACACAACCTACCCATGTAGAGACAACCTACACTACCCATGTAGACACAACCTACCCATGTAGAGACAACCTACCCATGTAGAGACAACCTACCCATGTAGAGACAACCTACCCATGTAGAGACAACCTACCCATGTAGAGACAACCTACCCATGTAGACACAACCTACCCATGTAGAGACAACCTACCCATGTAGACACAACCTACCCATGTAGAGACAACCTACACTACCCATGTAGACACAACCTACCCATGTAGAGACAACCTCCAACCTACCCATGTAGAGACAACCTCCAACCTACCCATGTAGAGACAACCTCCAACCTACCCATGTAGAGACAACCTACCCATGTAGAGACAACCTACCCATGTAGACACAACCTACCCATGTAGACATAACCTACCCATGTAGTGACAACCTCCAACCTACCCATGTAGACACAACCTACCCATGTAGACACAACCTACCCATGTAGTGACAACCTCCAACCTACCCATGTAGACACAACCTACCCATGTAGACACAACCTACCCATGTAGAGACAACCTACCTATGTAGAGACAACCTCCAACCTACCCATGTAGAGACAACCTACCCATGTAGACACAACCTACCCATGTAGAGACAACCTACACTACCCATGTAGACACAACCTACCCATGTAGAGACAACCTACCCATGTAGAGACAACCTACACGTGTAGACACAACCTACCCATGTAGACACAACCTACCCATGTAGTGACAACCTCCAACCTACCCATGTAGACACAACCTACCCATGTAGACACAACCTACCCATGTAGTGACAACCTCCAACCTACCCATGTAGAGACAACCTACCCATGTAGACACAACCTACCCATGTAGAGACAACCTACACTACCCATGTAGACACAACCTACCCATGTAGAGACAACCTACACTACCCATGTAGACACAACCTACCCATGTAGAGACAACCTACCCATGTAGAGACAACCTGCCCATGTAGAGACAACCTACCCATGTAGAGACAACCTACACTACCCATGTAGACACAACCTACCCATGTAGAGACAACCTACCCATGTAGACACAACCTACCCATGTAGAGACAACCTACACTACCCATGTAGACACAACCTACCCATGTAGAGACAACCTACCCATGTAGAGACAACCTGCCCATGTAGAGACAACCTAACCATGTAGAGACAACCTACACTACCCATGTAGAGACAACCTACCCATGTAGAGACAACCTACCCATGTAGAGACAACCTACCCATGTAGAGACAACCTACCCATGTAGACACAACCTACCCATGTAGAGACAACCTACCCATGTAGAGACAACCTACCCATGTAGAGACAACCTGCCCATGTAGAGACAACCTACCCGTGACTCAGGATCTCTTGTGCTGTCCAGTAGATCAATGATCTCTTCATTGTAAAGCTGGGGACAATGGAAAACCTCATAAAGAAAAACTAGCAACAGACTAGTTAATATAATAATCTCACGCAATATGAAATATGGTTAGCAACAGACTAGTTAATATAATAATCTCACGCAATATGGTTAGCAACAGACTAGTTAATATAATAATCTCACGCAATATGAAATATGGTTAGCAACAGACTAGTTAATATAATAATCTCACGCAATATGAAATATGGTTAGCAACAGACTAATTAATAGTCTCACACAATATGGTTAGCAACAGACTAGTTAATATAATAATCTCACGCAATATGGTTAGCAACAGACTAGGGAATAAAAATGTTATACAGTAGAAGAATCTTTAAAAGGTGACACAATAACCTCCATAAACTGTGCCGTCACTTTGAATTCTGGGGCTGGCTCTCCATTTTCAAAGGCTTGTCTCCGTCTTTCTTCAATGCCAAGAAAAAGATGGTCAACAGCCCTTGGAACAATACCAATGTCATCAGTAACAGCGGCCATAGACATGTCAAAGCCTGTCCCCATGGTGTAGGTTTTACCAGAGCCAGTCTGTCAACAGGATACATCTTTTTAATAATAGAACCAACAGATTTCAGGCTTCTAATCACCTTTAGAGTTCAAACTGTGCTCATATGTGAGCCGTACATATGTGAGCCGTACATACAAGCTGGTCATGGTCTAAATGTGCTCATATGTGAGACGTACATGCAAACTGATAGCCACTATAATGAAAGCTGTACAAAATCAATAATGCAGCCAACCAAATAGACTTGTCACCTAGTACTGATCTCACTCAGTCTGAGACCATTAAAAGGTGTGTCATGCAGTACTCACCCTGATCTAAGGTAGAGCAAGGTGTGGCATGCAGTGCTCACCCTGATCTAAGGTAGAGCAAGGTGTGTCATGCACCCTGACCTAAGGTAGAGCAAGGTGTGTCATGCAGTGCTCACCCTGACCTAAGGTAGAGCAAGGTGTGTCATACACCCTGATCTAAGGTAGAGCAAGGTGTGTCATGCACCCTGACCTAAGGTAGAGCAAGGTGTGTCATGCAGTGCTCACCCTGACCTAAGGTAGAGCAAGGTGTGTCATGCACCCTGACCTAAGGTAGAGCAAGGTGTGTCATGCAGTGCTCACCCTGACCTAAGGTAGAGCAAGGTGTGTCATGCAGTGCTCACCCTGACCTAAGGTAGAGCAAGGTGTGACATGCAGTGCTCACCCTGACCTAAGGTAGAGCAAGGTGTGACATGCAGTGCTCACCCTGACCTAAGGTAGAGCAAGGTGTGTCATGCAGTGCTCACCCTGACCTAAGGTAGAGCAAGGTGTGTCATGCACCCTGACCTAAGGTAGAGCAAGGTGTGTCATGCAGTGCTCACCCTGATCTAAGGTAGAGCAAGGTGTGTCATGCACCCTGACCTAAGGTAGAGCAAGGTGTGTCATGCAGTGCTCACCCTGACCTAAGGTAGAGCAAGGTGTGTCATGCAGTTTTCACTCAGAGCTAAAGTAGAGTAATGAAAAGGTTCAAATAGAATTGACTTTAAATAGTTATGGCATGTGCCTAGCATGAATATTTTACCTGGCCATAAGCAAAAACTGTGGCATTATATCCCTCAAAGCACCTGAAACAAGACATGTTTCTCATTATGAATCATGCAACAGAGTTTATCCTGAGATGTGGGGTGGGAACCTATATATCAGTGGCGTAAGATGGACTGTGTAAATGGAGGGGGGGGGGGTTAAAAATCTTATTCTACACCTATTCAACACTTAAACGTTATGTGTGTGTGTGTGTTTGCGTGCGTGTGTGTGTATAACACCCCACGTTGTCACTGCAGGTAAAAAAAAAATTCAGCAGGGCTCTAAGTTAGAACCAGAGCGACCGTTGACGCGATGACGCAACCAGACCAGAATTTACCGCGAGACTATCTGCTCGGACCATCCTTGTACAAGGTGGACGAACATCGGCTGACACAAAGCCTCTCACGAATAACTCGTAAGGCCTACACCATCAATTACGTAGGTATAAACTAGTTTCTCACAAATAACCCATAATGCCTACACCATCAAATACGTTGTATAAACTAGTCCCATGTGAGTATGTGCGTGCGTGTGTGTATATCCCATAAAACGCCCGCCGTAAACTTATGCCCCGTCCTTTGACCTTATACTTGCCTCAATTAAAAAAGTCCAGCCTTATCTGCCGTCAAAAGCGGATCAGTCGAGCCAATATTAGAGATGTATCGCTAGAATTTTTTAAAAATGGATAGACAGCCTAACTACTGAAAACAATGTAACTGTCAGACAGCCAAACAATGTAACTCCCTAACATCACACACAAAGGGTATCGAAAGTCTAGCCGCGTACAGAAGCCGAGAATCATGACGAGGGCTCCAAACTCTACTGTTGTTTGTATAGGCTGTACATGCTACAACTATCAATACGCGGTCTACTCTCACTTTTACCTTATGTTCAAGCGGCCAGTAGACATCGGATAAGTTCCCTTTAGAACTTAGTTAAACGGAATTGTTTTTAATTGTTGTCTGTATGTGACTGGTATGTGAACACAATTTTGTCTGTCTGTATGTGACTGGTATGTGAACACAATTTTGTCTGTCTGTATGTGACTGGTATGTGAACACAATTTTGTCTGTCTGTATGTGACTGGTATGTGAACACAATTTTGTCTGTCTGTATGTGACTGGTATGTGAACACAATTTTGTCTGTCTGTATGTGACTGGTATGTGAACACAATAACTTGAGTAGCGTTAAAGTTAGGTATTAGATCATATACTCATGCTATCATAAACAAGTATCAGATTCTATCACCTTTTGGGTTATTTCCGGTTTCAGGAAGTGGTACTTTTCTCTATTTCCAGTATTACAAAAACATTTTAAATTTGATCATTTTTTATATCAATCAACTCCCTAACACACGTGTTGTATATGGTATCTACTCACCCTTCAACTTACTAACACACGTGTTGTATATGGTATCTACTCACCCTTCAATCAACTCCCTAACACACGTGTTGTATATGGTATCTACTCACCCTTCAATCAACTCCCTAACACACGTGTTGTATATGGTATCTACTCACCCTTCAATCAACTCCCTAACACACGTGTTGTATATGGTATCTACTCACCCTTCAATCAACTCCCTAACACACGTGTTGTATATGGTATCTACTCACCCTTCAATCAACTCCTTAACACACGTGTTGTATATGGTATCTACTCACCCTTCAACTTACTAACACACGTGTTGTATATGGTATCTACTCACCCTTCAACTTACTAACACACGTGTTGTATATGGTAACTACTCACCCTTCAATCAACTCCCTAACACACGTGTTGTATATGGTATCTACTCACCCTTCAATCAACTCCCTAACACACGTGTTGTATATTGTATCTTGCTGAGTGTGAGTGTCAAAAACAAAATCAAAGGTGAAGGCCTTGTCCTGTCCGAGAATGACTTGCTTATCCTGGTCAGTTACAGTGGTCACTATCTGGCACATGTCGATCTTCTCGCGTCCGTTCTGAGGGCGGATTCTGGGGAAAGTTGTATTTATATCGGTAGACTTTGGTTAAGAGCGGATAGTGACTATTTCGGCTAACGATAAAGGAAATAGGCAAGGTGCTTTTTTCTTCTTACATCACATAAAAATAAATAGAAGCTAAACATAGCGACAGGCTGTGAGGTTATACGTACGTTGTTTACGCACCTTAACAATAAGAGAGTGCCAGCACTGGGCATAGGACCCTAGCGTTCAGGACAAGCCGGAGGATTTATAATATTCTAATGCTCGCGATAGTTGCTTTACAATCTACAATTTGCAGTGATAACAAAAAGACAGAAAACAATACGAAGCAGAATATATTAGATGATCAGCAAACACAAACATTAGGTTCCTTGGCATAAGCTGTGCAAATAGCAGTGGTCAGTATTTTATACCGTCAATCCATTACATTTTTACAAGATTTAAATCAAGGCGAAAGTGAGATGTATCTGACTTTGTCATAAAGCCTGTCTGTGACATAAAGACTGCCTGTCTTTAACACACAGTCTGCCTGTGACAAAGCCTGCCTGTCTGCCTGTGACAAAGCCTGTCTGTCTGCCTGTGACAAAGCCTGCCTGTCTGTCTGTGACACAAAGCCTGCCTGTCTGCCTGTGACATAAAGCCTGCCTGTCTGTGACACAAAGCCTGCCTGTCTGTGACACAAAGCCTGCCTGTCTGCCTGTGACAAAGCCTGCCTGTCTGCCTGTGACAAAGCCTGCCTGTCTGTCTGTGACACAAAGCCTGCCTGTCTGCCTGTGACATAAAGCCTGCCTGTCTGTGACACAAAGCCTGCCTGTCTGCCTGTGACAAAGCCTGCTTGTCTGCCTGTGACATAAAGCCTGCCTGTCTGCGACACAAAGCCTGCCTTTCTGTCTTTGACACAAAGCCTGCCTGTCTGTGACACAAAGCCTGCCTGTCTGTGACACAAAGCCTGCCTTTCTGCCTGTGACAAAGCCTGCCTGTCTGCCTGTGACAAAGCCTGCCTGTCTGCCTGTGACATAAAGCCTGCCTGTCTGCGACACAAAGCCTGCCTTTCTGTCTTTGACACAAAGCCTGCCTGTCTGTGACACAAAGCCTGCCTGCCTGTCTGTGACACAAAGCCTGCCTGTCTGTCTGTGACACAAAGCCTGCCTGTCTGCCTGTGACAAAGCCTGCCTGTCTGTGACAAAGCCTGTCTGTCTGTGACACACAGCCTGTCTGCCTGCCTGTGATACTGACTACACCATTCTAAACGGCACAACATTTACTCCACAGGCATGAACACATCGCTGATGCCCGATTCACATATTTACATAGGCAGTGTTTACAGAACGGCTGGGACACAGTTGCCGCATCAATCAATAGTGCCGTAATTCATTAGATGGTGCAACCATTCAAATGGCGCATCTGCGATAAAAGCTTTTGACTCGGTTAGTCCAAAATGTTGTCCAATCTATTTCATAGTTCGTTGTTTCTCCATGTACCGCATTATGTAACATCGTGCAGAGGTAGACAGAAATATGCCCGGCCATTATGAATCAACATCCTCCTAGTGGCTCTCATCATCTCGTTTGATTCATTTCATTCATGCACATATACTACAATATGCTACAATAATCGCATCTGTTTCGACAGTTTAAAAAGCACCTGATGCCGCTTTACAAGAATGTGTTTTATAAAGATGTTAAGTCCCCCAATGGCTATATAGGAGTAAAGGCACGTGAAATATTAGAGATACGATCTCTACTGTTTCCTATACATTCGACTAATGTTCTCAGCGAATACTACAGGGTGTATGTCTAAAAAAATGTATTTACCATTTATTCCTCAAACTTTTGTAGGAGATCAATGTTAACTTAATATCGTAATTAATACCTCCAACATGTAGATCTATAGCAGAATGAATTGGCCCGTAATTAATACCTCCAAAATGTAGATCTATAGCAGAATGAATTGGCCAACCCCATAGGCCTGTATCAAAACATGTAAGTTGTGGGTTGTGTTTAACACAGGGGCATGGGGATTGTGTGACATCATTGTTCTTCTGTTTGGGGAGCGAGTAAATGCTTACCTATTTACTTGCAAGCAATCTTAGGACGGTGTCATAAAGGATTTGAAGAGGCATACACATCACCAGAGTAGGTGTAACAAAGGCAACAATACAATGAGAGGAGGTAACCCTGGGATGAAGTCATTTAACAAAGGCAACAATACAATGAGAGGAGGTAACCCTGGGATAAAGTCATTTAACAAAGGCAACAATACAATAAGAGGTAACCCTGGGATGAAGTAGTGTAACAAAGGCAACAATACAATGAGGAGGTAACCCTGGGATGAAGTAGTGTAACAAAGGCAACAATACAATGAGGAGGTAACCCTGGGATGAAGTAGTGTAACAAAGGCAACAATACAATGAGGAGGTAATCCTGGGATGAAGTAGTGTAACAAAGGCAACAATACAATGAGGAGGTAACCCTGGGATGAAGTAGTGTAACAAAGGCAACAATACAATGAGAGGAGGTAACCCTGGGATGAAGTCATTTAACAAAGGCAACAATACAATAAGAGGAGGTAACCCTGGGATGAAGTCATTTAACAAAGGCAACAATACAATAAGAGGAGGTAACCCTGGGATAAAGTCGTGTAAAGCAATCGATAAATGCTGCGTCTCCGTCAAGTAGGTCAAGTAATGGGTTGTTGTTTTTTAAACAACGGTAATGATTTTTTTAAACAACAGTAATGAGGGTTTGTTTGAAACAACGGCATGAAATGTTTGAAACAACGGCATAAAATGTGTTTGAAACAACGGCATAAAATGTGTTTGAAACAACGGCATAAAATGTGTTTGAAACAACGGCATGAAATGTTTGAAACAACGGCATGAAATGTTTGTTTGAAACAACGGCATGAAATGTTTGAAACAACGGCATGAAATGTTTGTTTGAAACAACGGCATGAAATGTTTGAAACAACGGCATGAAATGTTTGAAACAACGGCATAAAATGTTTGAAACAACGGCATGAAATGTTTGTTTGAAACAACGGCATGAAATGTTTGTTTGAAACAACGGCATGAAATGTTTGAAACAACGGCATGAAATGTTTGAAACAACGGCATGAAATGTTTGAAACAACGGCATGAAATGTTTGAAACAACGGCATGAAATGTTTGTTTGAAACAACGGCATGAAATGTTTGAAACAACGGCATGAAATGTTTGAAACAACGGCATAAAATGTGTTTGAAACAACGGCATGAAATGTTTGAAACAACGGCATGAAATGTTTGTTTGAAACAACGGCATGAAATGTTTGAAACAACGGCATGAAATGTTTGTTTGAAACAACGGCATGAAATGTTTGAAACAACGGCATGAAATGTTTGAAACAACGGCATAAAATGTTTGAAACAACGGCATGAAATGTTTGTTTGAAACAACGGCATGAAATGTTTGTTTGAAACAACGGCATGAAATGTTTGAAACAACGGCATGAAATGTTTGAAACAACGGCATGAAATGTTTGAAACAACGGCATGAAATGTTTGAAACAACGGCATGAAATGTTTGTTTGAAACAACGGCATGAAATGTTTGAAACAACGGCATGAAATGTTTGAAACAACGACATGAAATGTTTGAAACAACGGCATGAAATGTTTGTTTGAAACAACGGCATGAAATGTTTGAAACAACGGCATGAAATGTTTGAAACAACGACATGAAATGTTTGAAACAACGACATGAAATGTTTGAAACAACGGCATGAAATGTTTGTTTGAAACAACGGCATGAAATGTTTGAAACAACGGCATGAAATGTTTGAAACAACGGCATAAAATGTGTTTGAAACAACGGCATGAAATGTTTGAAACAACGGCATAAAATGTTTGAAACAACGGCATGAAATGTTTGTTTGAAACAACGGCATGAAATGTTTGAAACAACGGCATGAAATGTTTGAAACAACGGCATAAAATGTGTTTGAAACAAGCTATGTATCAAACCAGAATATCAGTGGATGAAATGGAAGGATGTTGGTACCATCTGTCCAGTACCGGTAGAAAGAACTGATTTCATTAGATCGTCGTTGGAGCCAAACAATCGACTCTTTTTACACTGAATGAACTAACACACTTTTGGGACAAGATTCATGCTATCCATTTTGAAAATTATAATAATAATAATTAGCGTACGTAGGATGGATCAATAGCCTTGGTCATCATTGTGTTGCGAGCAACAAATGAAACGATCAATAACAAGCCCACAAGGGTGTGTCCATGCTTCACATTCTTGTTGGTGTTCCATGTCGTTTTTCTATTCATATTTTTTTTAGGTAACCAAACAATATTCTGCACGCAATACACGAGTCGGTATGTCCTTGTTTTATTCATGAGTAACTAAGTCGATCTGTTCCTGTTTTCTGCATGTAATACATGAGTCGATCTGTTCCTGTTTTCTGCATGTAATACATGAGTCGAACTGTTCATGTTTTCTGCATGTAATACATGAGTAACTAAGTCGATCTGTTCATGTTTTCTGCATGTAATACATGAGTCGATCTGTTCCTGTTTTCTGCATGTAATACATGAGTCGAACTGTTCATGTTTTCTGCATGTAATACATGAGTCGAACTGTTCATGTTTTCTGCATGTAATACATGAGTCGATCTGTTCCTGTTTTCTGCATGTAATACATGAGTCGAACTGTTCATGTTTTCTGCATGTAATACATGAGTCGAACTGTTCATGTTTTCTGCATGTAATACATGAGTCGAACTGTTCATGTTTTCTGCATGTAATACATGAGTCGATCTGTTCCTGTTTTCTGCATGTAATACATGAGTCGAACTGTTCATGTTTTCTGCATGTAATACATGAGTCGAACTGTTCATGTTTTCTGCATGTAATACATGAGTAACTAAGTCGATCTGTTCATGTTTTCTGCATGTAATACATGAGTCGAACTGTTCATGTTTTCTGCATGTAATACATGAGTCGAACTGTTCATGTTTTC